GTGTGTGTGTGTGTGTGTGTGTGGTATTGAGCAAATCACTTACCTAAACTGAGTCTTAATTAAAGCAGGACTAACTGTACCTGGCAGGCTACAGTTCATGGGGTCACAGAGAGTGGGACATGACTGAGTGACTAAGCATAGCACAATTGTACCTATCTTACAGAGCTGTTAACAGTAATTAATATTTCTTTTTATTTTTATTTATTTATTTATAGAGCTTCACTACTTAGTTGTAGCATGGAGGATCTAGTTCCCTGATAAGGATTTAACCCATAGCCCTGTGTTCGGAGCACAGAGTCTTAGCCACTAGACCACCAGGGATGCCGTTAATGGTAATTAAATAGGATAAAAATGTTTGATATACTAGGTAGGTGTTTTGTTGACTACGCCAAAGCCTTTGACTGTGTGGGTCACAACAAACTGTGGAAAATTCTGAAAGAGATGGGAATACCAGACCATCTGACCTGCCTCCTGAGAAATGTATATAAAGGTCAAGAAGCAACAGTTAGAACTGAACATGGAACAACAGACTGGTTCCAAATAGGAAAAGGAGTATGTCAAGGCTGTATATTGTCACCCTGCTTATTTAACTTATAAGTAGAGTACATCATGCAAAATGTTGGGCTGGATGAATTACAAGTTGGAATCAAGATTGCCAGGAGAAACATTAATAACCTCAGATACGCAGATTGGCCACGTGATGTGAAGAGCTGACTCGTTTGAAAAGACCCTGATGCTGGGAAAGATTGAAGGCGATTGTGAAACAGATCGCCAGTCCAGGTTTGATGCATGAGACAAGTGCTCGGGGCTGGTGCACTGGGAAGACCCACAGGGATACAATGGAGGGGGAGGTGGGACAGGGGTTCAGAATGGGGAACACATGTAAATCCATGGCTGATTTATATCAATGTATGGCAAAAACCACTACAATATTGTAAAGTGATTAGCCTCCAACTAATATAAATAAATGAAAAAAAAAGAGAGATCTATGTCAACCCTTCATAATGCAGTTTACTATGCTGAACAAGATTTCCATTATTCTATGACCCTATTCAAGTCTGGCAAATAAAGCAATGAAGAAAAAAAAAGTTGAAGGCGGGAGGAGAAAGGGACAACAGAGGATGAGTTGGTTGGATGGCATCACCGACTCAATGGGCATGAATTTGAGTAAACTCCAGGAGTTGGTGATGGACAGGGAGGTCTGGCCTGCTGCAGTCCATGGGGTCACAAAGAGTCAGACTTGACTGAGCGACTGAACTGAACACAGATGACACCACCCTTATGGCAGAAAGCGAAGAAGAACTAAAAGAGCCTCTTGATGAAAGTGAAAGAGGAGAGTGAAAAAGTTGGCTTAAAACTCAACATTCAGAAAACAGATCATGGCATCTGGTCCCGTCACTTCATGGCAAATAGATGGGGAAACAATGGAAACAGAGACTATTTTTTTGGGCTCCAAAATCACTGCACATGGTGACTGCAGCCATGAAATTAAAAGACGCTTGCTTCTTGGAAGAAAAGCTATGATCAACCTAGACAGTATATTGAAAAGCAGAGACATTACTTAATCAACAAAGGTCCATGTAGTCAAAGCTATGGTTTTTCCAGTAGTCATTGAGAGTTGGACTATAAAGAAAGCTGAGCACTGAAGAATTGATGTTTTTGAACTGTGGTGTTGGAGAAGACTCTTGAGAGTCCGTTGGATTGCAAGGAGATCCACCCAGTCCATCCTAAAGCAAATCAGTCCTGAATATTCATTGGAAGGCCTGATGCTAAAGCTGAAACTTCAATATTCTGGCCTCCTGATGCAAAGAACCGACTCATTGGAAAAGACCCTGATACTGGGAAAGATTGAAGGCAAGAGGAGAAGGGGATGACAGAGGATGAGATGGTTGGATGGCATCACTGACATGATGGACATGAGTTTGAGTAGGCTGTGGGAGTTGGTGATGGACAGGGAAACCTAGCATGCTGCAGTCCATGGGGTCTCAAAGAGTCTGACATGACTGAGCGACTGAACTGAGCTGAAATCATTATGTGTAAAAATACTATTATTATCAATGAAGAATCTGAGCTTTAGAGACACTGGGTGAATTACTGCAAATGCTGTACATAATATATAAAGACAGCCATCCACAGCCCAGCTTCACATACTTCCAGTTCAGAAATCCCAACAAAGATAGCTTCTTTCCCACCACAATCCATGTATTAGTATCATTAAAGAAAGAGAGTGAAAAAGCTGGTGTAAACCTATATTCAAAAAACTAAGATCATGACATCCAGTCCCATCACTTCATGGCAGATAGATGGGGAAACAATGGAAACAGACAGATTTCATTTCCTTGGGCTCTAAAAATCACTGTGGATTGTAACTGCAGCCTGAAATTAAAAGATGCTTGCTCCTTAGAAGAAGAGCTATGACAAATCTAGACAGTGTATTAAAAAGCAGAGACACACTTTTCTGACTAAGGTCCGTGTAGTCAAAGCTATGGTTTTTCCAGTAGTCATGTACAAATGTGAGAGTTGGACCATGAAGAAGGCTGAGCACCGAAAAATTGATGCTTTCAAACTGTTATGCTGAAGAAGACCCTTGAGGATCCCCTGGACTGCAAGGAGATCAAACCAGTCAATCCTAGAGGAAATCAACCTTAAGTATTCATTAGAAGGAATGATGCTGAAGCCGAAGCTCCAGTACTGTGGCCACCTGATGCACAGAACCGACTCATTGAAAAAGACCCTGATTCTGGGAAAGATTAAGGACAGGAGAAGAAGAGGGAGACAGAGGATGAGACGGTTAGATGGCATCACCGACTCCATGGACATGACTGAGCAAACTCTGGGAGATGGTGAAGGACAGGGAAGCCTGGTGTGCTGCAGTCCATGGGGGTCTCAAAGAGTTGGACATGACTGACCGACTGAATATCCACAACAGGGAAAGAGATGCTTATTTGCCCCTGTTTAGGTCATCCCCTCCCCTCTTACAAGGACATAGGGTACTATAACTGGCCACCTTGTGCCCCAGCGTGTACTAATTGCCACCCTCCAGTAGAAGCACAAGGAAGGCAGAGGGCTGAGTTCCAAAAGGAGGGATGATGAACAGGCCGACACAGTGTATGTGTACTGCAGCAGGTGACTCCCTTTTGTATCCAGCAACTGCACCAGAAGCATTGACAGCACCTGGGAGCCTGTTAGAAATTCAGAGCCTTGGACTCAAGCTCAGAGTCAGACTCTGCATTTTGAGAAACATGCTGCATGCTAAAAGTCACTTCAGTCGTGTCCAACTCTTTGTGACCCCATGGACTGACTGTAGCCTACCAGGCTCTTCTCTCCATGGGGATTCTCCAGGCAAGAATACTGGGTTGAGTTGCCATGCCCTTCTCCAGGGGATCTTTCCGACCCAGGGATTGAACCCACATCTCCCTGCGGCTCCTGCTTCGTAGGCAGACTCTTTACCGCTGAGCTTCCAGAGAAGCCACGAGAAAATCCCGGGGCAATTCATATACACAGGAAAGTTTGAAGTACACTTTTCTGGGTAGTTATTTTATCCCTTTAAGGGCTAATTATTACATGATTTTAACTATTTTGGCTAAAACTGTCCTCAGAAGTGTTTCCATATAAGTGAAGCGTTAACTATATCTAGTTACCAGTGAACAGCTTGAACATAAAGTGCTGTGGAGAGAGGCCTGGAGTAGTCAGACAGCCATTTGTAAAAGCGGGTAGCGTAGGCCTAGGAGGAATGAACTGTCTGCAGTGTGTTCAGAGGACAGTGAGACCATGGGGAGTGAGTGATGAATCCTGAAAAAGTGTCAGAGGTCGGATTATGGGGGATCTCTCCTGCTACCGTGTGAAAGTGATGGTTCCTCCACTGCCCCCAGGGGAAAGTTTGCTGAAGGATTTGAAACCAGCAAGGAACATGGCCTGACTTATGTTTTTTTTTTTTTTTAAACAAACAAACAAAAAAAACACTTTGGAGAGGTCATAGAGGACCTCTGTGGATTGGAAGAGGAGAGGCCAAAGGCAACAAGACCAATTAGGAAGCAGCTGTGACAGTTAAGGTGAGAAAGAAATGCCCGAACTAAAGTAGTGGTCACAGCTACAAGAAAAAAATGTCTATGAGGGAGAATGTGGAAGAAGAGTGGACGGAGGTTTATGAGAGGTCAGGAAGGGGGAGATAGTGGTGACATTAATTTGGAAATACAGAGATAAAGGCAATTGGGGTGGGGGAGAGAATGAGTTGTTTGGATTGTTGAGTTTGAGGGCTCAACCCAGAAAGATGTCAAGAGAGCACTTGAATATGGAGTAGGGTTCTAGAGAAAGGTCACAGCTGAGGATGCATGCAAGTTTATTTCCATTTTGGTAAACTGAAAATTAGTTCTGTTACCATATGTAAAGGATTTCCCAGGTAGTGCTAGTGGTAAAGAACCCACTTGCCAATGCAGGGAATGTAAGAGATGCAGGTTCGATCCCTGGGTCAGGAAGATTCCCTGGAGGATGGCATGGCAACCCACTCCAGTATTCTTGCCAGGAGAATCCCGTGGACAGAGGAGCCTGGTGGGGTACAGTCCACAGGTTCACAAAGAGTCTGACACAACTGAAGTGACTTAGCATTCATGCACGCACACCATATGTGAAATAGATAGCTAGTAGGAAGCCACTGTATGACACGGGGAGCTCAACACAGTGCTGTCTGACAGCCTGGAGGGATAGAGTGAGGGTGGGATGGGGGTGGGCTGGGAGGGAGGTTCAAGAGGGAGGGGATGTGTGTATCCTTATGGCTGATTCATGTCGTCGTATGGCAGAAACCAACACAGCATTGTAAGGCAGTTATCCTTCAATTAAAGACAAATTTTTAAAAATTGATGGTAGAAGAAGGGACAGTAATGTTTTCAAGATTGCACGCATCTAGTAAGTGGTCGTGCTGGGATTTGAAATAAAACCTTGAATCTGCATCTTAAAAAAAAATTGTGACTTCATCCTGTTTGCTTTGTAGATACTTCTGCCATATGAAGTTGAACATGGAAGAAGAGGAGGACTATATGTCTGATTCCTTCATTAATGTCCAGTAAGTAAATGTGCACACCCCATATAATGATACGTGTAAGACATTAAGGAATTGGAGATTTTTAAGCAATGCCATTGATTTTAAAGGTGAGGTTGGAAATTTCATCTTACTGCTTTATGAGAACATTTCCTACATGTCTATGATACAAAGATGCTTCTAATGCTAACCATTTTACTTTGGCACTCAATTCTTTTTCTTCCACACTACCAAGGCCATTTTACTCTTTTCCTTTATTTCATCTTTTCACTTCTTGTACCTCCTTTTGAGAGTTTCCTTTTATTACTGCCAATCTCCTAAAAAAATTTCTTCAACTCTGCATTTTGTTTCTTACCTTCTAATACCAGCCTTCATTGTTTTTACCAAAACAGCCATTCTCACAGAACATTGGTTATGTTCTAATAGTGGTGAAAACAGAGTTACTCCTAAAGGTGGCACTGAAATATTAAGTAGTGTCAAGTGAGTAAGTGGCAAAGTTATGAGAAACTTCCATGTACTAGTCTAAAATAACCTTTTCCCTCATTCTTCAGAGATGATATCAGACCAGGCTTGCCAATGCTGAGGCAAATCCGGGAAGCCCGTCGAAAAGAAGAAAAGCGACAGGAAGCGAATCTGAAAAACAGACAGAAAAGTATAAAAGAAGAAGAACAAGAGAGACGTGACATTGGGTTGAAGAATGCACTCGGCTGTGAAAACAAAGGGTTTGCTCTGCTTCAGAAGATGGGGTATAAAAGTGGTCAGGCCCTCGGCAAGAGCGGTGAGTCAGAGCCAGAAATGAACAGCTGTTCTTAACCACCAAATGGTAACTTATTGGTGGGGACCAGTGATGACTCTTTCCTCTCTGTCCATCTACACAGAGATTGAAACAACTTAAGCTTCCTGGTCTCTTGTGGGCTGGCAAGCTTGTGGAGAACTTCCATCTTCCCACAGCCACTTCAGACATATGCCACCCAGAGCTGCTTAGCAGCCCAGCTTGGCCCTGAAGGAGTGGGATGGATGAGGCTTGCCAAAGAATTTTGACAAGAGAAGGGTTAAGAAGTGCAGTGGCCCAGGGCATTCTCTGGTGGTTCAGTGGCTAACACTGCTCCCGATGCACAGGGCCCAGCTTCGATCCCCAGGCAGGGAACTAGACCCCTGCATGCTGCAATTAAGACCTAGCACAGCCAAATAAATAAATAAATGTTTCTTTAAAAAAAGAAAGGGGGGCTTCCCTAGAGGTCCAGTAGTTGGGACTTCACCTTTCAATGCAGAGGGGGCAGGTTCGATCCCTGTTCAGAAAGCTGAGATCCCACATGCCGAGTGGCAAAAAAACAAGAACAAAGACTTTAAAAAATGACCCACATCAAAAATATCTTAAAGAAAGCAGAGTTCAGTGGCCCAAAGGACAGGGGAGCAACACTAGAGATGATGGCAGGGCTCCAGCCTGCTTGCTCTGTACCTGTGGCAGCTGCCTGAGTGACCCCTCAGCTGGAGAAGCTCAGTTCTCACCTCTGTTTTAGGAATGAGATTGCTTATTAAGACATAGAGGTCATACACGTAGTATCTTCTATAAGCTGTTTTTCTCTTCTCTCCTTTATTGTCATTGCTTTGACTTTCCTAGCAAGGCTTTGCTCTCTCTTAAGCTGACACCCTCTTGTATATATATCAGTGAAAATTCCTACGTTTAGGTGGCATTGGAGGCTGTCCATCAGCTTTATTGAGGACTTAGTATTTGAAGGCCAAGGGAAGTAGTTGATTATAGTGTATTGATGTTCAGTTTCGATTTTGAGTATCACTGAAACTGGAAGGGATATGTATAGAACATTGTAAAGTTGCATAGTGTATCCACCAATAGTTTGAGGAAGAATTTCTAAAGTAATTTGTGCCTTGTTCTCTTTTTTTTAGGAGATGGTATTGTTGAACCAATTCCTCTCAATGTCAAAACAGGTGTGTAAGTACTGTTGCAGCTGTTTACTGTTAATAACAACTTAAACATAGCACATATACTTGTTTAATAAATAGTTTTTTATGGTGGTACTATTACAGTTCTTATCATGTAGAATGTTTTTTAAACTCCTAGACCTTTTAAACTAAAAATAAAATTAAGTTTTAATGAGTATAAAATAAAATTTAAATCATGAAAGTAACGGGAAAATTGTTGTAACCATCAAAAATAGAAAGCTATTTTTATCTGTTGACTGTCCTAAAAGTATCCTGATTTATCCACTAAATGTTTTTCTTAATAATTGAACAAATTAAAGGGAAAAGTATATATTTTTTATTTGTTCATCATATTTATATAAAAGCATGACTGTTGATACTTTTTTCCCAATTTGAAAAAAATGTGGATAGTATTGACATCTTTTTATTTTTTTTTTTTTTTTTTTTTTTTAATTTTTTTATCACAACCATAGTGTATCTTTTTTTTTTTTTTTTTACATGTATTCCCCATCCCGGTCCCCCCTCCCACCTCCCTCTCCACCCAATCCCTCTGGGTCTTCCCAGTGCACCAGGCCCGAGCACTTGTCTCATGCACCCAACCTGGGCTGGTGAACTGTTTCACCCTAGATAATATACGTGTTTCAATGCTGTGCTCTTGAAACATCCCACCCTCGCCTTCTCCCAGAGTCCACAAGTCTGTTCTATACATAGGAGTCTCTTTTTCTGTTTTGCACATAGGGTTATCGTAACCATCTTTCTAAATTCCATATATATGTGTTAGTATACTGTAATGGTCTTTATCTTTCAGGCTTACTTCGCTCTGTATAATGGGCTCCAGTTTCATCCATCTCATTAGAACTGATTCAAATGAATTCTTTTTAATGGCTGAGTAATATTCCATGGTGTATATGTACCACAGCTTCCTCATCCATTCATCTGCTGATGGGCATCTAGGTTGCTTCCATGTCCTGGCTATTATAAACAGTGCTGCGATGAACATTGGGGTACACGTGACTCTTTCAGATCTGGTTTCCTCGGTGTGTATGCCCAGAAGTGGGATTGCTGGGTCATATGGCAGTTCTATTTCCAGCTTTTTAAGAAATCTCCACACTGTTTTCCATAGTGGCTGTACTAATTTGCATTCCCACCAACAGTGTAAGAGGGTTCCCTTTTCTCCACACCCTCTCCAGCATTTATTGCTTGTAGACTTTTGGATAGCAGCCATCCTGACTGGTGTGTAATGGTACCTCATTGTGGTTTTGATTTGCATTTCTCTGATAATGAGTGATGTTGAGCATCTTTTCATGTGTTTGTTAGCCATCTGTATGTCTTCCTTGGAGAAATGTCTGTTCAGTTCTTTGGCCCATTTTTTGATTGGGTCATTTATTTTTCTGGAGTTGAGCTGGAGGAGTTGCTTGTATATTTTTGAGATTAATCCTTTGTCTGTTGCTTCGTTTGCTATTATTTTCTCCCAATCTGAGGGCTGTCTTTTCACCTTGCTTATAGTTTCCTTTGTTGTGCAAAAGCTTTTAAGTTTCATTAGGTCCCATTTGTTTATTTTTGCTTTTATTTCTAAAATTCTGGGATGTGGGTCATAGAGGATCCTGCTGTGATTTATGTCGGAGAGTGTTTTGCCTATGTTCTCCTCTAGGAGTTTTATAGTTTCTGGTCTTACATTTAGATCTTTAATCCATCTTGAGTTTATTTTTGTGTATGGTGTTAGAAAGTGTTCTAGTTTCATTCTTTTACAGGTGGTTGACCAGTTTTCCCAGCACCACTTGTTAAAGAGGTTGTCTTTTTTCCATTGTATATCCTTGCCTCCTTTGTCAAAGATAAGGTGACCATAGGTTCGTGGATTTATCTCTGGGCTTTCTATTCTGTTCCATTGATCTATATTTCTGTCTTTGTGCCAGTACCATACTGTCTTGATGACTGTGGCTTTGTAGTATAGTCTGAAGTCAGGCAGATTGATTCCTCCAGTTCCATTCTTCTTTCTCAGGATTACTTTGGCTATTCGAGGTTTTTTGTATTTCCATACAAATTGTGAAATTATTCGTTCTAGTTCTGTGAAAAATACCGTTGGTAGTTTGATAGGGATTGCATTGAATCTGTAGATCACTTTGGGTAGTATAGCCATTTTGACAATATTGATTCTTCCAATCCATGAACATGGTATATTTCTCCATCTGTTTGTGTCCTCTTTGATTTCTTTCATCAGTGTTTTATAGTTTTCTATGTATAGGTCTTTTGTTTCTTTAGGTAGATATACTCCTAAGTATTTTATTCTTTTTGTTGCAATGGTGAATGGTATTGTTTCCTTAATTTCTCTTTCTGTTTTCTCATTGTTAGTGTATAGGAATGCAAGAGATTTCTGTGTGTTAATTTTATATCCTGCAACTTTACTGTATTCGTTGATTAGCTCTAGTAATTTTCTGGTAGAGTCTTTAGGATTTTCTATGTAGAGGATCATGTCATCTGCAAACAGCGAGAGTTTCACTTCTTCTTTTCCTATCTGGATTCCTTTTATTTCTTTTTCTGCTCTGATTGCTGTGGCCAAAACTTCCAAAACTATGTTGAATAGTAGTGGTGAGAGTGGGCACCCTTGTCTTGTTCCTGATTTCAGGGGAAATGCTTTCAGTTTTTCACCATTGAGGGTGATGCTTGCTGTGGGTTTGTCATATATAGCTTTTATTATGTTGAGGTATGTTCCTTCTATTCCTGCTTTCTGGAGAGTTTTAATCATAAATGGATGTTGAATTTTATCAAAGGCTTTTTCTGCATCTATTGAGATAATCATATGGTTTTTATCTTTCAATTTGTTAATGTGGTGTATTACATTGATTGATTTGCGGATATTAAAGAATCCTTGCATTCCTGGGATAAAGCCCACTTGGTCATGATGTATGATTTTTTTAATATGTTGTTGGATTCTGTTTGCTAGAATTTTGTTAAGGATTTTTGCATCTATGTTCATCAGTGATATTGGCCTGTAGTTTTCTTTTTTTGTGGCATCTTTTTGACATCTTTTTAGATCAGACTGGTAATCTTTGTGAAAATCAAATTGTGAATTTGGGTTAAAAAAAAAACTCCAGTGTTTTCTCCTGTCCTTCTTATCAAATGATTTTGAGTGATTGTACTGAAGTTAGAATTGCATTTAATTTGTAAGTATTTAGGTAATTCCCTGGCAGTCCAGTGGTTAGGACTCCATGCTTTCACTGCCAAGGACCTGCGTTAAATTCCTGGTTGGGAAACTGAGATCCTGCCAGCTGCATGGGATGGCCAGAAAAAAAAATTTAAGTTGTCACATTTCGACATACAAAGTTAGTAGGTTTCTCATCAGTGTTTCCTGTTTGAGCAGGGAAAAGTGGCATTGGTCATGAGACATTATTAAAACGGAAAGCAGAGGAAAAATTGGAAAGCTACAGAAGAAAGATTCACATGAAAAGCCAAGCTGAAGAAAGAGCAGCAGAACAGTTTCGGTAATTGAGCTGTTTTTAGTCTCCTCGTTCCTTTATTGGGGTATGTTTCCTGGTATTTGGGCATTTAACATGGATAAAGAGAGCACAGACCTCTGGTGTACTATTTTTTTCTTTGAATTAGGATTCGACTTAAAAATAAGCAAGATGAAATGAAGCTAGAAGGAGATCTTAGAAGAAGTCAGAGAGCCTGTCAACAATTGGATACTCAGAAGGTAATCCTTTTACCTGCTTTCAGTTTGGTAAAGTGTTTTGGCACCCAGTATGATTTACTGTGTATTTTTTTTTGGCCTCGCCACAAAGCGTGTGTGACCAGGGATCAAACTTGTGCCCTCTGCATTGGAAGTGTGGAGTCTTAACCACTGGACCACCAGGAATGTCCCATACTTTTATTTTTAGAGAGAGAGAACTCCAAGCTTAGTGTATCTGCCCATTAAAACTTTCAGATGCACTGTTGATCTATGATAACTGGTATGCACAAAAATGACTTGTTCACTGCAGGAACATAGTCTGAGTGATCTTTAAGCGTTAAATACCGTTTTTCACTTAACTGTTCTCCATTTATTTGAATATTGATTTCTCAGAACTGTTACTCAGAATTGTGGAAATTCTGTTCACCTGAATGCTTGGCTAATCAGAAGAGCCTATTTTCAGTCCATATTCAGTAACTTCCATGTCTGCAACTAGTAAAATCATGTAGAATGCTATTTCAGATTTCAGTAGTTCTCAAAATTCAATTTTTGATTTGATTTTTCTTTAATTTTTTTATTTTGATGGTTCACCTACCAGCAAAATTGACTTCATTTAAAGTCTCAGAAATGTTTGTAAAATTTCCCTTATATGTAAATAGATCGCTGGAAGCAATCTCTCACTTTCCAGTATTTCCATAGCACGTTATTTTGAATATATGTCATGATACTTAAGATTTCTTAGCTATATATCATTTTATACCCATTAAGCTACTTATCCCCATAGCTTCTTTTCCCTACTAGATTGTCAGCAGTTGGGAGGCAGTATTCTAACTGGGCTTTGCATCTCCATAGTTCATAGTACAGGGCTCCCCAGGTGGCTCAGTGGTAAAGAATCCGCCAATGCAGGAGACACAGGAGACTCGGGTTTGATGCCTGGGTCAGGAAAATCTCCTGGAGAAGGAAATGGCAACCCACTCTAGTATTCTAAGGTGGAAAATTCCATGGGCAGGAGAGCCTGGGGACAGAGTCAGACACAACTGAGCAACTGAACTCATATGCATTGTTCCATGGTGTGGAACTTAAAGCAGTAAATATTTAGTTGAAAGAGTGAATTCATGTTGACATGAACAAACTTGTGATGATCTTTATGTTTAGCTTTGTTTAATTGGGAATAATTCTACATTTTCAGAATATTCAAGTACCCAGGGAGGCATGGTACTGGTTGAGGCCTGAAGAGGAAACTGAAGAAGAGGCAGAGGAAGAAAAAGAACAAGATGAAGATGAATATAAGAGTGAAGATTTAAGTGTATGGTTTGTTTGTTTGTTTTTTTTTTGGAGAATAATTGCTTTACAATATTGTATTAGCCTCTGCCAGACGCCATCATGAATCAGCCACATTAAATGTATGTTTTAGCACCAGTTCCTTAAGCTGGGTGTCTCAGCCTTGGCACAATTAACATTTTGAACTGTGTAATTGTTTGTTGTGGGGCTGTTCTATACATTGTAAGTTATCTTGGAGCATCTGTGGCCTCCATCCACCATCCACTGCACTTCCCCCTGTGACACCCAAAAATGTCTCCAGTTCAGTTCAGTTGTTCAGTCATGTCTGACTCTTTGTGACCCCATGGACTGCAGTACACGAGGCTTCCCTGTCCACCACTAACTCTCGGAGCTTGCTTAAACTCATGTCCATAGAGTTGGTGATGCCATCCAACCATCTCATCCTCTGTCGTCCCCTTCTCTTTCTGCCTTCAGTCTTTCCCAGCATCAGGGTCTTTTCCAATGAGTCAGTTCTTCACATCAGGTGGCCAGAGTATTGGAGTTTCAACTTCAGCATCAGTCCTTCCAATGAATATTCAGGACTGATTTCCTTTGAACTGGTTTGATCTCCTTGCAGTCCAAGGGTCTCTCAAGAGTCTTCTCCAACACCACAGTTCAAAAGCACCGATTCTTTGGCACTCAGCTTTCTTTATAGTCTGACTCTCACATCCATACATGACTACTGGAAAAACCATAGCTTTGACTAGATGGACCTTAGTCGGCAAAGTAATCTGCTTTCTAATATGCTGCCTAGGTTGGTCATAGCTTTTCTTCCAAGGAGCAAGTGTCTTTTAATTTCAGGCTGCAGTCACCATCTGCAGTGAAAAATAAAAGTCTCCCACTGTTTCCATTGTTTCCCCATCTATTTGCCATGAAGTGATGGGACCAGATGCTATGATCTTAGTTTTCTGAATGTTGAGTTTCAAGCCAGCTTTTCCACTCTCCTCTTTCACTTTCATCAACAGGCTCTTTAGTTTTTCTTCACTTTCTGCCGTAAGGGTGGTGTCATCTGTGTATCTTACGTTATTCATACTTCTCCCGGCAATCTTGATTCCAGCTTGTGCTTCATCCAGTCCAGCGTTTCTCATGATGTACTCTGCATATAAGTTACATAAACAGTGTGACTATATACAGCCTTTCCCAATACTCCTTTCCCAATTTGGAACCAGTCTGTTGTTCCATGTCCAGTTCTAACTGTTGCTTCTTAACCTCTATACAGATTTCTCAGGAGGCAGGTGAGGTGGTCTGGTATTCCCATCTCTTGAAGGATTTTCCACAGTTTGTTATGATCCACACAGTCAAAGGGTTTGGCATAGTCAATAAAGCAAAAGTAGATGTTTTTCTGGAACTCTCTTGCGTTTTCAATGCTCCAATGGATGTTGGCTATTTGATCTCTGGTTCCTCTGCCTTTTCTAAATCTGTCTTGAACATCTGGAAGTTCATGGTTCATGTACTGTTGAAGCCTGGCTTGGAGAATTTTGAGCATTACTTTGCTAGCATGTGAGATGAGTGCAATTGTGTGGTAGTTTGAACATTCTTTGGGATTGCCTTTCTTTGGGATTGGGATGAAAACTGACCTTTTTTAGTCCTGTGGCCACTGCTGAGTTTTCCAAATTTGCTGGCATATTGATGCAGCACTTTCACAGCGTCATCTTTTAGGATTTGAAATAGATCAACTGGAATTCCATCACCTCCTCTAGCTCTGTCGTAGTGATGCTTTCTAAGGCCCACTTGACTCACACTCCAAGATGTCTGGCTCTAGGTGAGTGATCATACCGTCGTGGTTATCTGGGTCATAAAGATCTTTTTTGTACAGTTCTTCTGTGTATTCTTGCCACCTCTTAATATCTTCTGCTTCTGTTAGGTTCATACCATTTCTGTCCTTTATTGTGCCCATCTTTGTGTGAAATGTTCCCTTGGTATCTCTGATTTTCTTGAAGAGATCTCTAGTCTTTCCCATTCTATTGTATTTCTCTATTTCTTTGCACTGATCACTGAGGAAAGCTTTCTTATGTCTCCAGACATTGCTAAATTTTCACTTGAAGGAAAAAAATCACTCCTAGTTGAGAACTACTACATTATAGGTTTATTAACCCCAAATCAAAACTTCATGTAAATGGCCCTTTTAGCTTCAGTTTACCCCTTTCACCTCAGTTTGGATGATGTATTAGCTGCAAATGTAAATTATGTTGATTTCTACCTTGTTTCCTATTGAACTTCTGGAAGTATTTCTGAGTACCTCCCTCCCCCAACTCACCCACATACAAGACAAAGTCAAAAAACACAATTCAAAGTAAGTAGAGAGTTTTCAAGAAAAGAATACACATTTCTATGGTTACTTGTATAAAAGAGTGTATAGGAAACATTCACAATTTGAAAAATCTTTGTTCCACCTAACTGGGAAACCATGGATGAGAACTCTAGTGGCAGAGTGAGACAGTTCCACCCAGATTCTTTGAAACTATTAATAGAAGGGGTCGTGAAAGGATGGTGATTCTAATAGAGCCAGCCACAGTCTATTGTTGAAATGTTAACAAGTGGCCTGTGTTGTGTCTGACAGACGTGAAATAGGGCAGCTAGTAAATTGGGACATGTTCTAATTTATTCCACCCTTGACACCTCTCCTAGCTGACTGAGCGTTATGAGAGGATTTATGGCCTTGGGGTAATTGAGCATAATCTAAGAGACCTAAAAACAAAAATGCTGCTCAATGGGAACCATTAATGTGCTTGTATCCTACCTATACCTAGGTACTGGAAAAATTACAAATACTGACTAGTTATTTAAGAGAAGAACATCTGTATTGTATTTGGTGTGGAACAGCCTATGAAGGTAAGAAGATACTTTATACTTCTAAAAACTATTGCATACAAATGCTCTTTGATTTCAGCTTTGATTTTTTTTTTATGAAATTCATATTTCCCATAGACAATGGAAATTTTTTACTCCATCCAAAGGGCAATGTTGGATGAATGCTTTAAAGAAATAGTGGGTAGAGAAAGAATTGAGGGTTAATTAAAGATGCTTTTAACTTTTCAGAAACTGAATGTGCAGAAGGGAATTTTTCAGTCTTCTATTTCAAAAGAAAGAATTTTTTAATCAGTTGAAGATGATAACTTTTTTTCATGCTTTATTTTTCCACAGTTCTTCAGCTACCAGAAAGATATAGCAAATTTTTAGAACCAATTTTTTTGTAGTTAGGTAGAATATTATCTGTGAACCATAGAAATCAGAATGTTGAAATCCACTCCATTTTTTTTTCATTGTAAGGAAAGAAATGGTTAAAATGTGTCAGATGTCTTAACGACCCAAGTGCTTTCTTTTCTAGCACTTGCCCAAGCCAGCTTTGTTAACTTGAACTTAAGGACTTTGTACTTGAGAGTGAAGAATTTGGGATTATTGTTGTATCTTTTCCTGGTTTGTTTAGCAGAGGAGGGAAGCAGATACAACTACAAAATACATGTTATGCTGAAACAATTTTCTAAAATAGTTTACTGTGCAATTTGTATTAATTGTTTCTTCTCCTCACATAAATTACAGATAAAGAAGACCTGTCTTCAAATTGTCCAGGACCAACTTCTGCAGATCATGACTAAGATTATTCTCAATAAAGTGGAAGCGTGGCAAATGTTCTTGTTTCCTAAAGACAGATAGCTGGGCAGTTAGAATTCCCAAATTTTTGATACCGGTAAAGAAGGGGACTTCATGTGTTTTGTTGTTTTTGTACTTTAGAATATAATTCTTTACTAACTTGAACATATAATGGAAGGCCATTGCAGAGCACAAGTATTACAGACACCAGCAGTTACAGTTCATGACTCTGTCTTGACCTTTATGGGCTAAAGGACACCAGCTCTCTTACCCCCTTTTTCACTTTGGAACAAATTGAGACATGAGACGTGGGAGTTTGAGATCAAAGTGTCAGCTTTATTACTAACGGAATGAAGAGCTACTTGACTTGTTCTCCAGTCGCACTCCCTGTGAGATCTTCCTGCTTAGAGAGAACTGCAGACCTTGCCTCAGAGGGAGGAAGGATAGAGCCCGTCTTAGCTGTCGAGGTGAGAGAACCAACCCTCAGGGCGAAGAGGAGAGGCACACCTCCTCAGCTCCTTTTCCCAAAACCACTCATCAGGAGAGAGAGCTCTGCTGAGAAGGGGTGAATACAGGCTCGCAGAACTTCTTCCCACAATTCTGTCTTCCAAGGAGCAAGAAGAGGTTCCCTTCCCTGCATGCAAGCATGAGGAGGAGGTGAAAAGTATCCCCCTCAATGAGAGTAATTTCAGAGGCAAGGTTCCATTAATAGTACTTAATTCTACTGAGTTTTAGAGACAAAGTAATTATGATATTCCATAAAATCATGAGTTTTCATGGCAATGTGTGTATCCATTATGAGTGAACTATTGCAAGTTTTGGCTAAAGAAACAATAGTTGGGAGTAACCTGAAACATCAGGTGATCCAAATTCTTAATTGTTTGACAACATTCCCAGCAGGTGGTAATCCTGCCTCTCTACCTTGATTTGTCCAGCCACAGAGAGCTCACTGCCTTAAAAGAGCTGGATAGCACTAAGTCATTTTTAAAGTTATTTTTCTGTCTTAAGCTGAATTCTGCTTCCCTATAACTTAACCAAATACAGCTAAAGACATACCATGTGGCACATTCCTAGAGAGCTCCATGTAAGTTTGGGCATCAAAATTATGAACTTTTTTTAAAGTTCCCAAGCTCAGATACTACCCTTAGTGACTTAATTCAGCTAGTCTAGGATAGTTTCTAGATACCTATTTATTTTAAAGTTCTGAGTCTGATTATCACCTGTAGATAAGAACTAGTTCTCTAGGTTAAACCAGAGCACAACTGTTCTTTGGATCAAGTTGTGACCTTACCTGTACAGTTTCACAGCTCACCTTTCTGAAGCACTGAGCAAGAGATCAGCCTCTTATTATAAACAGCATACTTGAGAACATAGCCGAAGCTAACCTACGCTTACCCAAATTAAGATTATCAATAGTATGAGTTGTATTAATATGACCTAATTAACTTGTCCTCAAGTTTAACTTGGAGAGCTTTAAAAAAAATGATAGTACAAAGATTATCATACTTCCTGAAAGTCTATATAATTGATCCCTCTGGTCTGTGCACCACTACCCTTGATACCAACATGCAGTAGAGCTTGAAAACCTAGTCACCGTCTGGGCCTCAGTTCTTCATCTAGAAATTGAATTATTATTTTTATGAGTATAAATACATATGTAAAATATTGGAGCTTATATAGTTGGACAATACTATTTGATACTTTTTTCATGTAAAAAATAATAACATTGTATTAACAGATAAAACAGGAGTACATCTTCTTCTTGCAGTTATAATCACATCCTTGCCTGTCATTTTAGCCATCATACTGACATTTGTTCTGTCAGACCGGAAGCCATGTGGATTCTTTCAGACCGAATGGACTTAGGAACTGGCTTCTTTTTCTCCTTGTACTATGGGGCTACCTTCCCAGTGGCCTAGAGTTTGTTCATGAAAAAAATAAATAAATACGTTCATGAATGTATTCATTAACATAAGAATAGGAATAACATTAACATAAGAATAGGAATAACCTTGACTGAACCCAAGAGTCCACCAGAGTTGTGGTCTGCAATTCCAGGCCAGAGGCCAGCACTCAGCCTGCCTTAGAGAGTGGGAGACATCCCTCTATTCTTACCACCAACAATGAAACCTACAGATTTTCAGTATGAGTAAAAACTTACTTTTATTCATAAATGCCTTTTACAACTTCATAACCAGACGATAATGAAAACCAAGGGGTGTAAAATACTGAAAAGAATTCTTATATTTGCTTTAGAACATATATGACACTTGAAACATAAATTTTAACAGGTCAGGTTGTCATTTACTTTTAACCATATTATGTTAATACTATGTTTATTTTCAAAGTCCTATCTAGAATTTCTAAAATGTTTGATTTTCCTCATTATAAACTCAAAATACCGGAGCTTCTAAAATTCAAAATAAAGTGATTTTAATATACCAAATTGGTTTACCTACCCACCTTCAAGTGTTATTTACCAACATTTAATTGTTGAAATTTTACAATGAACATTATTTCATATCAGACACATTTTGTAGGATCAGGCATATAAAATTCTTAGTACTTTTATTCCCTACTAATTCAAAAGCACTTAGGGAGTTCCTGTTTTATGCAGGGTAATACACTTGCTTCCTTAAGGTAAATCAACTGTCCCTGCTTGCCAGTAATGTACAAGGAGGGGGACACCCACACAGGAAAAACTGAGTGCCAAGGCAAACTGATAAGTACCATATTAAAGTACGAAAAGCACTAGGAATACTAGGGAGAAGTTTCATTCTGTATGGGAGATGGTAAAACACTATGGTAGCAACACTGAATTTGGGCTCTGAACATCATTTTCATATACAAAGTCACTAGGAAGGAGTTACAGTAAGACCCAGTGTTTCTACTCCTAGGTATATACCCAGGAGAAATGGAAACATGTTCACATAAAACTTGCACACGAATATTCATAGCAGTATTACTCATAATAGCCAGAAAACAGAAACCCAAATGTCCATCAACTGATGAACAGGTGAATTAAATGTCATGTATCCATGTAGTTGAATATTATTTGGCAACAGAAGGGAAAGGAATTTCCACCCATACTGTATCATAGATGACACTTGAAAACATAGTAAGTGAAAATGATCACATGTTGTATGATTGTTTTGTATGATTCCATTTAAATGAAATGTCCCAAGCAGGCAAGTCTATGGAGACTGAAAGTGGATGAGTGGATGCAGAGAGTTAGGGGAAGATGAGGAAAGCCTGCTAACAAGTACAGGGTTTCTTTCTGGGGAGATGAAAGTGTTTCAAAATTGATTGTGGTGATGGCTGCACAACTTTGAATATACTAAACACCACTGAACTGAATATTTTAAATGGGATGAATTTTAAAGTATGCAAAATTATGTCTGAATAAAGCTGTTATTTTACAAAAAAAAGAAAAAGGTTGAAGGGAATTTTAGGTAGAAACCATAGCTGAAAGCCATTGAGCAGAAAAGCCTATTTAGGTGACCCTGAGCAGACCTGTGTGGCTGGGACTTGATCAGGTAATACTGAACATGGGATGCAAAGTGGGAGCCCCCAGAGGAACACAGCCCTGCCAACACTTTGACTTGAGCCCAGTGAAATAAATCTGTGTTGTTTTCAGCCGCCAGTTTTGTGGCCATTTGGTTACAGCAGGTCTAGGGAACTAATACAGGTCTCAATCATATTGACCTCTGAAGAGCCACACATATTTGAGAGAGATCTGATTTGCCTCAAGAGTGTTACCCATTACATGGATTTTAGTCCTACTATAAGCCGGTAATGGGCTTCCCTGGTGGCTCAGATGGTAAAGAATCCACCTGTAATGAGGGAGACCTGCGTTCTCCCACATTTAGTATAAGCCAGGAGTGGGGCCTCTGTATACCTGTCAACCGTTGTCCCTGTATCTGTCACAGACGTAAAATCACAGATGTTAGGGGGTGGACTGACATTTAGATATAAAGGGTAAATATCTACATGGAGATGTCCAGCATACTTCTGTTTCTGAGCCCTTTCCTCTATGTACGCTCCCTCAGCAAGCTCTTGGATTCAAAGTTAAGCACCAGGGCTTATTTCCAGATAAGACCCACATCTCTTTTGTGTATGATTCCAGCTCATCCTTCAAGTTCCTCCCCTGCATTTCCTAGATCTGCTCTACATTCACTCTTGAATATTACGGCAGCACCTCAAACTCGACATCTCCAAACGAGATCCAGCATTTTACCTCCTCAATGTGCTGCACCTCACCATGGTGACACATGAGCCATTGCTCCACTATTGCTTAAATTCTAACTGAAAACTCTGCAATAGAGAACAGTGTGAGACAAAATATCTGTTATGTGTGGCTCATTGAAGGGGTTAATTTGATTGAGACTTGGACCTTCTTTAACAGCATCATACTTCTGGTGCTCACCATCAGAACAACCTGGAGGTAATCTCTGATTACCTAAATCCTCACAGCCCCAAATCCTCACATCCCTAAATCCTCACATCTGATTAGATGCCAGCACCTGTTGGTTCTGTCCCCTCCAATTGCTTGGGTCCGCTTAGCCTCTCGGACTTCTGACCTTTCAATAGTCTTTTGCCTGCTCCAACCTAGTCTAAACACAGTTTCAAAGTATAGGTTGGATCATACCCCTGCCTAAAAAAAAAAAAAAAAAAAGCCAAAAAACCTCTTTGTCACCTTTGGAGCTTGCTGGGGTGCCACCTCATTCTAAAAATTAATAAATATTAATCCCATCTTTTCCATTTAGTTTTTGGGCTTCCCTGGTGGCTCGGTAAAGAATCTGTCTGCCAATGCAGGAGACACGGGTTCAGTCCCAGGGCTGGGAAGAGCCCCTGGAGGAGGAAATGGCAACCCACTCCAGTATTCCTTCCTGGAAAATCCCACAGACAGAGGAGCCTGGCAGGATACAATCCATGGGATCGCAAGAGAGTCAGACATGACTTAGCAATTAAACAACAACAACCCATTCAGCTAGAGAAAATTCTTTCAAGAAGAATCACAGATAATAAATGCAAGAGGTTTGAATAGAATCTGAAAATCAGTTTTGCAACCCCTAATGAAATAATGGATCCAGGCAGTAGTCATCAATGGCTGCTAACACTGTTAGATGAATGACCGATAAGGAGAATTGACGGTAGTGGATGGCAGCACCACAAGTGAAAGTCACTCAGTCGTGTCTGACTTTGCAACCCCATGGACTATACAGTCCATGGAGTTCTCCAGGCCAGAATACTGCAGTGGGCAGCCTTTCCCTTCTCCAGGGGGATCTTCCCAACGCAGACACCACCATAAACCACCGATCAAACTTAAAATCACCAAAAGTGGAACAGTCAGACATCATGCTCCTCCTGGAGTGATGCAAAATATACAGCATCATACCCTAATGCAATGTATAAGAAATACGTTGTATGTTGCTTTTCACATAGAAATAAGGATGACTCCTTTCTCTACACATACACACACACACACACACACACACGCACACTACAGCATCATCTAGGGAGTATTCTTGGAAAAGATTTTCAGACCATAATCAAATCGATTTTCTAGATCTAACTAAACACCACGGGGATACCATCAGCCAAATCCTAAATGAAGGAAGTTCTATAGGATATATGACCTAGTTCCTTCCTCAAATAAAAGGCAAGAGGAAAGAAACGAAAAGCAGGGTAATGTTATAAAGCTGGCAAAAATTTATTTACCAACTAAATGCAATGTTGGATCCTGATTTTAAAAACCTGCCGAAAAATATTTCTAGATAGGAAAACTCCATACAGACTGATTATGAAAGAAATCTTACTAATTTTGTTGAACAACAGTGATATCGAGGTTTGGTTAAAATTTAAAACATCTTTTATGTTGGAAATACATCTTTAGGACTTCCCTGGTAGTGCAGTGGTTAAGAATCTGCCTGCCAATACAGGGGGGAAACAGACTCAATCCCTGGTCCAAGAGTCACATGCTGTGGGTCAACTCAGCCCACGCACAACTACTGAAGCCCACATGCTCTAGAGCCCAAGTTCCAGAAAAAGAAGCCACAGCAGTGAGAAGCCCACACCCCACAATCACAGATTAGCCCTGCGCTCACCACAACCAGAGAAAGCCTGCAGGCAAAAAAAAAAAGAAAGAAAGCCTGCAGGCAACAAAAAAGACCCAGCACAGCCAAAAAACGAAGAAAAAAAAATTTTTAATACGTCTTTAAGTGTTTACAAGCAAAATGCTACAATACCTGAGATTTACTTTAAAATTCTCCAGCAAAAGAAAGGGATAAATAGAACAAGAAAAGCAGAATACTGATAGTTGTTGAAGCCAGGTACATAGGGTTTCATTATTCTAGTCTCTGCTTTTATGTTTTAACATAAAAACTTATAAAAATAAATATGGATAATATTGACATTATTCCATATTCATAACAAAAAGTAACATGCCCAAACCTCAATCTATGCTGAACACTCAAGTGTGAAATAGATGTTGTGAGTTTCTCTCTCAAGTTGGTACACGGGATAACAGTCTTGGAAAAGCTTGTTTGTAGATTTCTAACCATTTCATACATACATGTGCAATATGTATACGTGTGTATACACACATGTATATACATACAAGCCTGATTTCACTGACATGCAGTCTGTGTGGCTGCATAAGGCCCCCATGTTAATATTTGAATAAGGGCCTCACATTTTCATTTTGCTTTGGCTCCCACATATTATATAGCTAGCCATACACACAGACACACATACACTCACATATATGTGTATATGTGTGTATTTATACTAAATACCACTAACAAAAATGACATGTGCTGAGTATGATACATATATATATATTTATGTTAACTATGTGCGAATTTAATAGGAAATATGTGTTCTTTGTAATAAAAATTTCTTAGAAGTTCTGTTTCTAGTGAGGCAATTAGGTTAAAATGGCTCTTGAAAATCTCTGCACATATGTGTTTTAATTAGCAAATAAGGTCCCTGGTCTTTGCCCCTCTTCTCCTCTGACTAAAAGGATACTTTTTATTTACTAGTTACTTTTTATTTACTAGATAGTTTGAGGCTGAGAAAACACATACTAAAATAAACCTTTAAGGGACGCTGTATTTACTTCACAGTAGTCGAGAAATATTTGAGTGAGAGAAGGATATATAAAAAAACCAAATCACTATGCTGTACACTTGAAACTAAAATTGCAAATTAATTATACCTGAATTTAAAAAATGAGAGAAGGTAAAAATAAAGCCACGTTCATACTAATCTGCCACATTCACTGGCTTTTCTTTTGAGTTTGTCTTTATTCATCAAATCCAGATAATACTAATTCTTTTAAAAAAGATTTCTCTCCCCCTAGAAAAATTTCAAATCTGCAGAAAAGCTCTAGGAATAACACAAGAAATACTGTATATCCTCCACCTCGATTTATCGTTGTGTTAACACTTTGCCACACTTCCCTCTCTCTGTCTCTCTGTGTCTCTCTCTGTATTTACACACATACACATAGGTGTTTCTCCAATGGCTCAGCAGGTGAAGAATCTGCCTGCAATGCAGGAGACACAGGAGACGCAGGTTTGGTCCCTTGGATAGAGAAGATTCCCTGAAGGAGGAAATGGCAACCCACTCCAGTATTCTTGCCTGGAGAACCCCATGGACGGAGGAGCCTGGCGGGCTACAGTCCACGGGGTCGCAAAGAGTCGGGAGTGACAGAACTCAGCAGAGCACAGAGTTCTTCCAAGATGCAGCCTCAATTATATTCTGGCCCAGGTGGCTATGCGGTAAATAATCTGCCTGCCAAGGCAGGAGATGCAAGAGACGCGGGTGCGATCCTGGGGTCAGGATGATCCCCTGGAGTGAGGAAATGGCAACCCACTTCAGTATTCTGGCCTAGAAGATTCCACAGACAGAGGAGCCTGGCAGGCTACAGTCCATGGGGTCACAAAGAGATGGACACAACGGAGTAGCTAAGCACATTCCCAACAGCAATTCACAGAACCAAACTAGCATACCCAATCTCTCAAATCTATCTTTCCCAGGATGCATACCAGGCCCTCTGTCCAGACTTCTCACGTGGTCTGCTCTCTATCCATCTCAGTCCTTCACAGACTTGGAGGTCTCACTGGAATGTCACTTCTAAGCCTGTGCCATGGTTCCTTGGGATGTGATCTCACCCCTCCAGATAGACTGTCTTCTGTGCTCAGCTATTGTCTTACAGCACAACTAGCATCTCTTTAAAGTGTCTGTTATATCATGTACAAAATGTATTTAAGAGAACTAAAATATTCATGCAGTAAACACTAGTGGACTCAACATGCAGGGTTAAAATAAAAAAATTAACTGTTAACTCTGAAATCTCTCCTGTCCCTCCTCAGAGAAAATCACTATCAGAATCTAATAATCGTTCTCACTCCTTTCCTTCCCTGTACATTCGTTTGGATACCTAAACACACTCATTTCACACTTATTCCACTGAGCATGTTCTTTGAATTTTATATTAATGGAATCATTCTGTGTATAGTTCCTGCAATCTGCTTTGTTTCCTTAACATATGTTCCTGAGAGATTTGGCATGTCAGTGTGTTCAGCTAAAATCCCTTCATTTTCATGCTATACATACAGTACTCTATAGTGTATGAATATAATACAACTTGTGTATCCTTTCTTCTTCTGGCGCACATTAGCATTGTTTCCTATTCTTTTGGCTATTATGAACAGGGTTTCTATGAACATTCTTGTGGGTGTGTATGTAGCAATGGAATTGATAGCTTTTCAGGATAGGATGTATACATTTACGTTTGCTAGATGATACCAAATTGCTTTCAGAAGTGATTATACTTATTTTTTTTACTTATCTTTTCATGGTCACCAGATTCTCCAACTAGATTGTTAGCTATTTAAGACAGAGATAGATCTGATAGTATTTTTGCCTAGAAACATTAGGCATTTAATAAACACTCATTAATTAACTGATTCACTGATTGGTATTAAAAAGAAAATTTGAGGGATTCTTTTGGTATTTTCATAATAAGAAGATGATCCATGGGAAAGTCAAATGTAAGAATGTTTCTGAAGTAAGAAAAAATGTAAGCCTTTCTGCAAATGTGGCAAAAAAAAAAATTAAGAGAAAAAATGAAAATAGAAGATAAATACCATCAATATTCCCAAGCAGATTTTAGACAGTTATAGGAAAATGGAATTATCAGAAGCAGGATACTTTTTAAGTATCTAATATGTGTTTCGTTTCCTTCTTTCTGTAACATTATTCCACTCCTTCAAAGTCTTCAGTATCTCAGATGTGGTAGGTCGTTCCTTGGGGTCCTCTGAGAGTAATTTCTCTAGAAGATCTTTCTGTAATGACAATAAGAGTCAATTCTAGGAAAGAAAACATTGCAATAAACAAAATTCAATTATTTTTAAGTGCTTACTTCTTTGCCGTCAAATACATCTAAGTAGCCACTCCTTAGATCTTCAAATAACTAAAAATTAAACATATATATGTTTATTAGGAAATGATTTACTTTGGAGAAAAACAAACTTAAGAAGCACTAAAGGCTGGGGATACCAGAATTCTATGATATTTCTAGATTTTTAGAAAAATCTCTTCTGCCAAGAAGCAAGCGGGAATCCTTTTCCCCCACTACCCCCTTTAAGAACCATCCTGAACATTACAGCATGTTGAAGTTTTAAGAGCATCGTATGAATCATCTCCCTGCATCCTTTTTGGAGCCCTCTGCAAGGTATTTTCAATATCCCTGCCTTACAGGGGAGAAGGCTGTCAACTCCAGGCAAGTCCCTCTTACTGACTTTCGGACTAGGATATCCAGTTGCCTTCAGCCTTCGGTGGCCCGCCACTGTCTCCATAAGAAATCCATATTCTTGTTTTAATTTCATACCAGTATATCTTTCCAGTACCACTGACCACCAACCACTTCCTTGACTTATATACTACAATAAAAATGACACTGCCAACTATTCCCAAATATACTCTTCCCAATGCTTTTCCATGCTCACGTCACCTTCTCTCTAAATTGGAGTATTGGAAGCCAACCAATTCTTCAGAGCCCAATTAAACACCTCCATGAAGCCTAAATCCCTACAGCTGGCAAAGCCCCCCTTCTAGCTGTTTCCATTCGACTTCATGCCTTCTCCTAAAACGTTCATAGCATTCTCTTATGTTACCTTTCCTTATAAAATATAAGCTCCTTGAGAACAAGCCTTACTCATTTTCATAACCCTTGGAGAACTCAGCACAGGGTCTTATGCAAAGCAAGCCATCAATACAATTTTACAGACAGAGATGCACACACTTTCCAAAGAAGACCAAAGGCTTGGTCTTCAACAAAAAGTATTGGCTGCCCAAACTTGAAAGAGGTAAAAATTCATATTTAATTTGCAGTCAACACTAACATGCTCCAGTCCATCCTCATGTGAGGTCAATAACTGAAGCAGTACTTTGAATATGACGGTCAATAATTTTTGTTGCTTAATTCTTTCTGTGACATTGTATTTACCTTCGATGTTTCTAAAGAAGTGGGACATATATGAATAAGCTCTGCAAGAATCAGCCCCAAAGCATAGATGTCCACTTCATTTCCATAGTCTTTCACAGAAGAAAGCTGAAAAAAAACCCATTTATATTCGTGACTCACCTGATATAAATATTCATGCCTTCTAAAGCCAAAAAGTTATCTAACCAAAATATCTTATAACACACAACAATGTACATTTATTAGCAAGATATGTAGACCCTGACTACCCAGGTTCAAATCTCTGTCACTAAATATCTGAATCACCTGTATACACTAATCATCAATGTGGGAATAATCTAAACCCTAAAATGGAGATAGCAATAGTTTGAACCTCAGAGTTTGACTGTGGGGTTAAATGAGATCATTAGGTGAAGCACTCAGTAAATCACTTGCATGCAAATGTTTATCACAGATTCACTCATAATATTTCACAACTGGAAGCAAACCAAATGTCCATCAACAGGAGAATGGATGAACAACTTGTAGTATATTCATACAATGGAATAGTATTCAGCCACAAAAAGGAATAATCTGCTGTTATTTATAAGCAAGAACTAGAGGTTCTCCAACAGACATTACTTTGAGTGAAATAATCAAATATAGAAGAGTACATACAATGTGATCCCATTCATATGAAGCTCAAAATCAGGGGAAAGTAATCTATGGTGATAGAAATCAGAGAACTGGTTTCCTTTGGGCAGTGGAGAGGAATGGCTGACTGGAAGTGGGTCTAAAGGTGAGGAAAATGTTTCCACCTTCTCATAGGCTTATAGGCTTCATGAACCTATGCCTTTGTTAGAACTAAAAAAAATATACGGACATTTAAGATCTGTGAATTTTATGGTGTATAAATCTTTCCTCAATAAAATATGACAATACTGGATGCAGGAGACATTTAAGAGAATGGGAGTTGAAAGGAAGCTGTTACTCCCCTATTCTACTTTCACACCTTTAAAAAAGTTTGTTATGTTTTTATGAACTGAACCTGTCATTCTAGTCAACGATTTCACCTCAAAGGCTCTATCATTGATTATCATAGAAATATTTGTTTTTAGACTCAAAGGTAAGGAAGAAGATATATAACATGTCTACAAATGTAAAAAGTTGAAAACAACCTAAATAAATGCCCATCAATAAGGAAACAGTTAAATGATTGCAGTATATCTGTATTTTGGCATACAATACAGTTGTTAAAAAACAATGTGTCAGATCTATTTGTACAGATATGGAAAGATCATGACACTGTTGAGTACAAAAAATTAAGTCACAAAATAACATTATAGTAGCCTTATAAAATGTATCTATTATTTTTATGTAAAAAAGTCTCCATAAATATATGTGTCTATATATATATATTATATATATATATTTTTTTTTAATTTTTTATAACTCAAAGAAAATGACCTAAAAGGATAAACTAGCAACTCTGGTGAGAAGAGTAAGAATAAAAATGAAGAGTAATGGTAATTTTCCATTTTCATTCTATTTACTTATGTATTGTTTTAATTTTATGAGTGCCTGTTATTTTCATAATTAAAAAATGAAAGAGAGAAAAAATATCTAGACAGAAAGAAAGGGGACCTCACCTGTTCTGGGCTCATGTATCGCCTAGTTCCCTTTTTACTTGTCCGCATTTCATGATTTTTCAGGTATGTAACAAGTCCAAAGTCTCCAATCTTGATTTGGTTCATAGTTACTAAAAATATGTTACCTGGCTGCCAAAAAAATATATGTTATAAGTGCCAATTTGACAGACTTTTATCACACATCCAATTCATATTTCATAACAGCTATTTTTAAATTTACTTATAAGGCATTTACCCTCTCCTAGGTAGCCCAAAACAGGAAACTTATTAATATAAGTCTCTAAAATGCAAGCTGAGGAAGTCAGGAGATTTTAGCTGACAGCAGAGAAAGCTTGGGGCATAGCTGCCTTCAGATATCTGAAGATAAGTCAAAGATGGATTCACTCCTGCCTGGTCCCTGTGGGGATGGATCCCGGACTAGAGGATGGAAATGACCCCAAGACTTGCTTTTAATATATCCTAATATAGTAATCGTGTGGTCCAACAAATGGGAGTTAGAAAGTTCCCCATCCTACAAAAGTAGTCAAGACAGGGCTGGACACCCACTTAGTAGAAACATTGCAAACATGAGTCCAGCATTTGAAAGGGATTGGAGGAGACTTAAGATCCTCTCCAATTTTGAGATTCTCAGAATAAGTCCATTCCCAGTAATGCTGCAGAATACCATGTGCAGAATTTTCCCTGGGGGCTTCCTTTATATTCATTTCTCCAGGCTTCTGACTTCTGACGGAGGAGGAGCCTGGGGCAATTGGGAAATTGAGCCTCCTCAGCCCATAAGCCTTCTCTACCTCTGTAGCTCTTGCCAGCCTCTTTGGTCTAGTTCTTAAGGTAAATGCTGGTTGACTTTATAGAACAGGGGCTTATTGAGTAAAGAACATTATCTGGCAAAGCCGCCAGTAGCAGGTATTCTGCAAAGCATCACAAAATAAGATGCACTCTTTTGTTTACATCTTCTCTCAGATGTGAAAAAGCAGTAACTGTATGAGTGAAGTTAGCAAGTTGAAAAAGATGAAAGAAGGCTCTGTAGAATTAAAGTCTGACCTTTGATCACCTGCAGACATAGAGCAAACTCTCTGCAAACAGACACAAGAAAAGATGACTCCTCGACAAGAGGCACAGCCAGTGCAGGATACAGGAGGGCCGGCCACGTGGTGGGAGAAGGGAGCACTAAGCATTTTCACTAACTTGTCCTGATGAGGGCCTGGGAGGAAATACCCAAACCTCTGAGTAGAGGAGATGACTGTGTAAGTAGATAATTTATTTGCAAATGATTGTATAAATAGATAATTGTGCTTAATTTCTTATTTAACTCTATATGATTCATGTCAAAGTGAAGATACAGCCATTCTAAATGTATACTTTTGAACAGAGTCCTTACATCCTTCCAACTTCAAAGAACACTTTCAGATACTGTTATTAACAAAACGAGATATTGGAACCAGAGGCACCCCAATATGAAGGCATCAGACATCTAGCCCCTGAGAAGACCAAGGATGCAATACTTCTTAAGGGCCATCTTTTCCCACCAAGGCCAACAAACAACCATGTACATGGCTGCTTATTTTTCTCAAGGCACGTTTTTCTTTGTTTCTCAATCCTGGCTGTTTTAGTCATGTGGGATAAGCCCAAGGTCCACATAGACGAGGTGCTTCTGTCTGATCCAGAATGACCAGGAAAGGCTCATAAAGAAATTGAGACCAAAGGGGACAGGTAGAAGAGTGTCTCATGTGAGCCCATGAGCAAAGGTTTGGTGACAGGATTCAGCATGGGTGGTTTGTGACGACTGTAGGCAAATCACAGGGAACAGAGTGCCGAGGGAAGACTGAAAAGCTCTTCTGTCTGATTTTCAGGAGGAAATGGGAAAACTGCTCATCTAGACCATGAGAGAAGCTAGGAAGCCAGAAGAAAAGGAAAATACGAAAGTATACTGCATGTTCCAAGGTTTGCATTGCTGCAGTTTTCCAATCATGGGGCAGAGATGTCTCACCAAGTGCCAAGCAAATTCTAGACTCTGGACTTAGTGGCTGTGACTGCCCTCAAGAGTAATGACTTAGAAGGTTAAGAGAATCGTGTTCCCAAAGCCAGAGTCACCAGAGTCTCTTCTGCCTCTCAGACAAGCCTGGGTAGCAGCAGAGGCAGAGACAGAGCACTCATCTGGATGGGCCGGCCACAAGAAGTATGTGCACAGCAATGTTCAGTATACTAAAGCTGTTAGTGTTTACAACTGGGGTGAAGGTATCAGCCAGGACGACAAATAGGACCAGAAGTGAATGAGCAATGAGTTTCTTACAGAGCTCAGCATCTCAGTACGTTTACAGCCCTGGCAACCACCTGGTTGATTCTGTAGATTGGTGCCTGGGGCAAGTGCTATACCCACTCTAACCATACAGGATCAGAGATGTTATATCCTCACGACTGTCTATCGATTCTAAAACTAAAGAAGATAGACTTTCACATTAATAAATTCTATTTACCAATTCCCAATACAGCCCATTTTCCACTCACCTTAAGGTCTCTATGAATTAAGTCTTTTGAATGTATATAATGCACTCCTGTTACTATTTGTTGAAAGAACTCCAAAGCCAAATGTTTGTCTGGTTCCTTGCCTCTTCTTTTGTCAATCCATTGCTCCAAAGTACCTTTATCACAATATTCCATTTGGATGAAAAGGCACCTAGTCTTTGGTCTGGGATAAAATTCACTGTATGTTAAAAGTAGCAATAAAAATAAATTTATAAAAAATGCACTTAAAAATTAGATTAAAAAATGACACCTTCTTAAAAATGCCAAATATGTCTCAAAACAGAAATCTAAATATAACAAATGTGAGTCAACACATAATAAACCACTGTTTATTTAGGTCATAAGTTCCCAGATATCAAAGCTTTGTTTAGTTAAGCTGTAAAGTAGCAGCCTTCTCATTCTTTAACGCTGAAGGTCCTTGAATATCTTTGCTAATAGATAGGAAGAGAAGCATAAGTACGATGGAATTGCAGAAAACCAAATTTCATTATTATATATTGTAATTTTGAAACATTTTAATTCATCATTGCTCTACTGAGCATCTATTTTGCAAAAGACATGGAACAGGTAGCTAAAGATAAGAAAATGAGTTAGACACTTGCCTTGCTCTCATGAGGATTATAGTTTGATGGGAGAGATAAAGGAAAAACAAGCAGAAAACAACAGTAGAGCAGGCCCCAACATCTGGGATCTAATGCCTGATGATCTGAAGTGGAGTTATGTAATAATAATAGAAATAAAGAGCACAAAACATGTAATATGCTTGAATCATCCCCAAACCATCCCCTCTCCCTGGCCCATGGAAAAATTGTCTTCCATGAAACCAGTCCCTGGTGCCAAAAAGGTTAGGGACTGCTGCAGTAGCACATGGATAGGAGCTCTAAGAGAAATGCCAACAATTGTCATGAGGAATAGCAATGAGGCAGGGCTTCCCAGGTGGCGCTAGTGACAAAGAATCTGCCTGCCAATGCAGGAGACTCAAGAGACGCGAGTTTGATCCCTGGGTTGGGAAAACCCTGTGGAGTAGGAAATGGCAACCCACTCCAGTTTGCTTGTCTGGAAAATCCCATGAACAGAGGAGCCTGGGGGGCTACAGTCCATGGGGTCACAAAGAGTTGGACACGACTGAGCGACTGAGCACACACCACACAGCAAGGAGGACCGACTTTGCTGATCATGGTAGTTGTTCTTTTCTGAACTAAGTTGGCTTTAATATGAATTTAAATTCTTTGAGCTTATGTTGGCTAGAAGATAGAAAAAGGTAGCCAGGAATTTTCTAAAAGCTGAAGAAGTCCACATGCGGATGGTACTTCTGAAAATAATGACACAGTTCTAAATTACATGGTGTGGAGACAGGGCTGGAGTCAGGAGGCGGTGAATGAACAGGCTCACCATGGCCTCAGGTTTGCACTGAAACGACTGTCTCCAAGGAACCCTGGATGACTTTCAAAGGGAGGCTCTTTATAAACCTTCAGTCCTTGTGCAGTGGCTTGCCTGAGACAAACATGAGTAATGCAAGGGCCGGGGGGTACCCCCATCACAGCTCAGGGTTTTGGAATTATTCAGACTGCCCATCACCTCACCACTCGTGGCATGATACACACAGAAGGGATCCCGTGACTGCACCCTGCCAACCAGTTGAGTGGAGCAGAAGAGCATTAGCAGTGGGGGGAGGGGGGCCTCCAGTTGCAGTGCCTACACGTGCAAACCTTCTTCACAAGACTGCATTTACCACCTGGACTGGAGTCCGGGCACGTGAGAAAGCCTGTACTTTAAACAACAGAGTTGGGAAACCTAAGCCTGGGATCTCAAAAACCACAGAAAGCGTTAGTCACTCAGTTGTGTGACTCTTTGCGACCCCCCTGGACTGTGGTCCACCAGGTTCCTCTGTCAGTGAAATTCTCCAGGCAAGAATTTACTGGAGTGGGTTGCCATTTCCTTCTTCAGGGGATCTTCCCAACCCAGGGATCAAACCCAGGTCTCCCACACTGCAGGCAGATTCTTTGCCATCTGAGTCACCAGGGAAGCCACTGAGGACGATTTAAAAAAAACGTTTTTTAAAGCAAATTTGCAGCAAGGAAAAGATTATTCATTGTCTTCTCATTTGTCGAATGGAGGCATAACAGTGTCTCAGAGTTTCTGGTTATGGTTATTAAATGTAATAATTAGTGGCCTTACCCACTGACCCACACACAGTAAACAAGTTTTGCTCCTCCTATTAAAACTATGATAGTTTTTTTTTTAGTTACCTTGAAGAATTGATGCTTTTCTCAGGATCATAATCAAGCCCATCCCAACAACTGTAGTAGTGAACAATATTTGGATGATTAAGTGTTGCCAAAGCTTTCACTTCACGCTCTACCTTCCTAGTTAAAAGGAACGGAACATAAAGGCGTCAGTTTCCATCCCTGATAATAACAAAACACCTTGAGCAATAGGAGACAATCACCAATATTCCCTTATTAAACAGCTGTCATGGTTCCCACACTGAGGTTTAGAATGCAAGCTAGCAGCTCTCAAAAGGAAAGAGTGAACACAGAAAAAATCAGCTGTTTTCACTTTCAACATAAGAAAAAAAAAAACAGTGACTAAAATTATTCCAAACCTCAGACAATTTAGAAGTCATAGGTAGTACTCTTGTGAGCTATCAGTGATGCAAAAAGTTTTTGGAGCTAAAATAAAAATCATCCATTATGTTTTATTTAGACTTGTGTTAAAATCACTTTGGATTTCAAAAGCAAACCCCATTTGGGCAGCAAGGGTAGGTAATCCAAACAGCATGAAAAACCTAATTCAGAATTTTCAGTGCGTGGCAAAAATACACACAGAGGGTGATCTATACAGAGAAACTGAAATTTCACTGCACAACGTGGGAACTTTACAGGAATGCGTAGGTAAGAGTTATGACAATCGTATGCTGAGTGGAGTACATAAATTTTAGATTTCAAGGATGAAAAAGGATAAGCAAACATTCTGCAACTTATTTTTTGAATTTGAAAAGTTCTATATGATACAAAATTTATAAAAATAGAGAAAAAAATTACTCATATATTAACACAATCCTAACACACTTATAAGTTTAGATGATTTCTTATAGTCTTTCTTCATATACATTTTTACATATGTGTAATTATAGTATATGCATTTATCCTATGTTTTCTCATATATTATCTTTAAATTTTTCCCTATTACTATAGAATCTGTCTAACCATCAGGTATAAACATTTTAATGTAACATTTCAAAAGTATTAAAAAGTAGAGCAAATAGTAGAATGAACCCCTACCTGGCCATCAGATGAAACAGTAATTAACGCCTGGCCAATCTTGTTTCCTGTATACTCTTACCTACTTCCTTAACTTTCCCTGGATTATTCTGAAGCAACTTCTAGCATCGTACCATTCATAGTGTGTATAAATATTTACAGTATATAACCCTCACTTTTAATGACTGCAAAATAGTCATTGATCAGAGGAGAGCAGAAAACATACTAAATCATTCCTTTATTGCTAAACGTTCTGTTTGCTCTAATTTCTCACTGTTATAAATGACACTGATTTTTATCTACTTGAATAACTTTTCCTATAATCTGGGTAATATCCTTGGAATAGGTTCCCAATAGGAAATCCATAGGTCAAAGCATATAAATAATTTTATGCTTCTTTTTTTTTCCATTTATTTTTATTAGTTGGAGGCTAATTACTTTACAACATTGCAGTGGTTTTTGTCATACATTGAAATGAATTAGCCATGGATTTACATGTATTCCCCATCCCGGTCCCCCTTCCCACCTCCCTCTCCACCTGATCCCTCTGGGTCTTCCCAGTGCACCAGGCCCGAGCACTTGTCTCATGCATCCAACCTGGGCTGGTGATCCGTTTCACCCTAGATAATATACATGTTTCGATGCTGTTCTCTTGAAACATCCCACCCTCGCCTTCTCCCACAGAGTCCACAAGTCTGTTCTATACATCTGAGTCTCTTTTTCTGTTTTGAAAATAGGGTTATCGTTACCATCTTTCTAAATTCCATATATATGTGTTAGTATACTGCATTGGTCTTTATCTTTCTGGCTTACTTCACTCTGTATAATGGGCTCCAGTTTCATCCATCTCATTAGAACTGATTCAAATGAATTCTTTTTAATGGCTGAGTAATATTCCATGGTGTATATGTACCACAGCTTCCTCATCCATTCGTCTGCTGATGGGCATCTAGGTTCTTTCCATGTCCTGGCTATTATAAACAGTGCTGCAATGAACATTGGGGTACACGTGTCTCTTTCAGATCTGGTTTCCTCGGTGTGTATGCCCAGAAGTGGGATTGCTGGGTCATATGGCAGTTCTACTTCCAGCTTTTTAAGAAATCTCCACACTGTTTTCCATAGTGGCTGTACTAATTTGCATTCCCACCAACAGTGTAAGAGGGTTCCCTTTTCTCCACACCCTCTCCAGCATTTATTGCTTGTAGACTTTTGGATAGCAGCCATCCTGACTGGCGTGTAATGGTACCTCATTGTGGTTTTGATTTGCATTTCTCTGATAATGAGTGATGTTGGGCATCTTTTCATGTGTTTTTTTGCCATCCGTATGTCTTCCTTGGAGAAATGTCTGTTTAGTTCTTTGGCCAAGTTTTTGATTGGGTCATTTATTTTTCTAGAGTTGAGCTGGAGGAGTTGCTTGTATATTTTTGAGATTAATCCTTTGTCTGTTGCTTCGTTTGCTATTATTTTCTCCCAATCTGAGGGCTGTCTTTTCACCTTGCTTATAGTTTCCTTTGTTGTGCAAAAGCTTTTAAGTTTCATTAGGTGTCATTTGTTTATTTTTGTTTTTGTTTCTAAAATTCTGGGATGTGGGTCATAGAGGATCCTGCAGTGATTTATGTCGGAGAGTGTTTTGTCTATGTTCTCCTCTAGGAGTTTTATAGTTTCTGGTCTAATTTTATGCTTCTTGATGCATATCTCCAACTGTATTTTTAACTGTGCTATACCAATCTATGAAGCCACGAGAAATGTTCAAGGTACTGCACCCTTATCATCATGAAGGATTACCATTAAAAAAGATGTTATGGGATAGAAGGAACAGCAGTATTCCTGGTAAGCAAAACAACGAAGAAAGAAAAAGCCTTGTTTAGATGCCAAGTAGTATGAAGGTATTTCAACTGCAAGGCTTTGTCCACAGGACAAACAATAGGTTGGTTTGACTGGAAGAAGAGCATCTAAAAACCACACCTGCTTCTTTTCTTATGTCATTTCCCTTCACTTATATCCCTTTTCCATCTCCTTCTCTGATCCTTGAGGGATCTGTCTGGCCAAATTACAAATAATAACAGCTGCCAGAAAATAACAGGCAAGATGGGTGAACATGGGATTTCAGAGCTCCTTCCTCTGTGTCTTCCTTCCTAAAAGAGTTCTGTTATCCAATAATTGGGGTGGGGGTAGGGAGGGGCACAGATAAGACATAAAACAAACATGGGAAGCATTGGGATATGGTGGGAACACAGTAGACTGGAATTCCAGAGGATGAATTCTAAATCTCCACCTTGCTACCACAGGAGATAGGGCCCAAGGATGGTCATCATTAATTTCTTCTCTCCCCATGCTCACATCCACTCCTCAGATTAAGCTGGAAGAGTCTATTTGCCCTCTCCCTCGAGCTGACCATAGTGACTTTGTTTAATCAATACAATGTGGAACTTCCAAGACTGCTCCCTCCCGGGATGAGTTGCTCTGGGACAGTCCTTCTTAGACCCCAACAACTAAGCTGCGAAACGCCCAGGCCACATAAAGGGGCCAGGTGGAGGTGCTCTGGTTAACAGCGCCAACTGCACTTGGAGCCACAGCCAGCATCACTGCCAGCCATGTGAGAGAGCCATCTCCGACGTCCAGCCAGGCCAAGCTTTCAGACAACTCCTGGCTGCAAATGCATGATGAATGGTCCGGGTGAGCATAGTCAACTCACAGGACTACAACTTGGTGTTTAAGCCACTGCATTTTGGAGTGGTGTATCACGCAATAATAGACAACCAGCACAATTTTCAGCCAGCTTTTACCTTTAGCAAATCAGTTCACATCTTTGAATCTCTCTCGCCTTCTCTGTAAGATAAGGAGATGAGACTAGAAAAACTCAAAGGTCACCTTGAGCTAAAAGATTTTATAACTGTAGTTCTCATCAAGACAGCCTCAAGGATAATCAATGGTATATCCATTTTTTTTTTTTTAGTTCCAAATTATGATTTTATTAGAAGTAGATGCCTGGAAACAGTTGAGAGGCTATAAAAATAAATTATTCAATGCTGAAATGTTTCCCAAATTAATTCAAATGGACATGAATAAAAATAAAACTATTCTAACAAATATGAAAAATACCTCCAGTACACACCACCACTTGCTAGCTTTAAAAAATATACATCTAATACCTAACCTATACAGCTGCCCTACAATAAAAGCCTTAGCTCTGTACATATTTAAACAGATTAAATTTTGTAAAAAGTTTTTTTCTTGAGAATACGTTACTGTTATAACATCTTAATAGTCAATTATAAGAATTAAACCTATTGACAGCTGCACTAAGCACTTCTACAAAAACATCAGCTAACTCATTAGCTATAACAACTCTGGGAAGGAAGAAGCTAGAAATATAAGTAAGCAGCAGGTTTTCCGACTCCACCTGTCCTCATACATCAGACCACGGCCCCTTCTCTGGTGCAAACACATCAACACAGAATAAGCCTCTTACTTCACTCACAGTGCATACACAGATGGTGATAGGTAAAACTTGGAGAGCTCTTCTTAGACAACCATGAGATTATTTGCTGCTTCCATAACTTTCAATACCTTTTTGTAATGTCTCAAATAGTAAGATAGGGTGAAAGACAATGAAAAACACTTATTAATTATCACTAAATACATATGATGTCATATCTATCACTGTTTTCAAAAGTTCCTTGTACTAAAATAGGACCCTACATAGAGCAAAGTGTTAATTTCCTCACATGAACAACATCCAAAATATGGTCTCTGAACTGCCTGTACTTTTCCTCCTTACCACCAGTGGAAGTGATAAACTACCCTAATGATTTATCAAGGAAGTGAAATCATTACCAAAAGTTAAGAGTATCTATTGTTAGTAGCAAGAGGTTTTTTTGGGGGGGGCGGGGATGGGGTAGGTAGAACTTTTATAAGTTTATATTGAAGAAGTTACTTTTTAAAGTGTTCAAAAATGTTTTTACAACTGATCTTGCAGTTTTCACAAACTGGAAAACTGTAAATGACGTGCAAAGGCCATTGACAGGGCGCTGGTTACAGAAATGAGAGTGGAGCCAGGAGCAGACTCTGACTGAGACACGGAAGGTGAGGACGGGCATGGAGTGGCGCACACGCTCCCCCCAGAGCAGAGGGACTCGGGTGTGCAGCGCAGTTGATGGCGGAGCACACGCCGTCTTCCTGGCCTAAAGCGCATTCAGAGGAGGGTGCCTGCTCCTCCGATACAGTTGCAATGATTTTGAGATCAATTCCTATGGAAAATATTAAAGGCCTCTCCTTGGATGAGGTCATCATATGTCCCTACCTGACTGCTGTAGACAAATGGATCTGAATTACAAATATTACTTTATCTGACACATGAAAAATGTCATTCCTCCTCAAAATATAGATGTATAGGTTTTCACAAGCCTCTACATTTTCTATGGTACATACTCTTCGTTTATAAAATACATACATACACAGATACATACACACACATAAATGAATACAGAAAATACCTAAGAGTTCATTTCCTTATCAGTCGTTTCTTTCTGCTTTTGTTTGGCAAGGTGATTGGCCAGGATTCCTTCCTGTAAGATTCTGGCATTCTGTTCTCCAGAAAGCTGGTTCTGAGCATCATGTCACTCTTCCATAACCTGGAGAGACACTGATTCAGATCATTTCTCAGTCTTCAGTTCCATCTAGTGCTCTGAGAGTGAGTTCAAGTTGCTGTTTCATTTTAGCTTCTTTACTATATTGGTCTTCCTTTCTTAACTGCTCCCTAATTTTTTCATATAACATATCAGCATTTCTTCTATTCTCTTCTTCTTGCTTTAAGGTCAATATTATTTCCATGAATTTCACACTCCACAATACTAACGACGTATTCTCCCCTTTATACCTCAAGCCAAGCGGTTCTACTTGCAATGTGGAAATCTTAGAGTAAAGACATCACCATCCTGGGAAGCACTTTCAGATGACTGAGTTCAGTCATTCAGGCAGCTCATGTCATTAATCTGTGCTTTGACCATATCTGAAGGCACTTTTGATCCTCACAGTTATTCTCGAAGAGAGGTAACGCATGAGGTCCTCTACACGGGGAAAGATGGGGCACAGAGAGGCCGAGGGCCGTGCCCAAGCCCACAGCAGGTCGCCAACAGACCCAGAATGCAAACCCAGGAAGTCTGGCCTCAACACTGCGGCCCCAAAGCATGCTGTGAATGGTTCTTTTCATCTCCCTCAGATTTTTCTTGTTCTTCCTCTCATGTCACTTCTAAGTCTAGTTCTGCTGACAAGTCTGTAAGTTTTGTTAAAATTACCTTCTACTTGTCCATTTAATGTCTTTTTTTCCTCTTTGGCCAGCAGCTCCAGATAAAGGATCCACACACTTCTGTGGAAGGCTCCCAGAGATACTCGCTCACACGCCCCCTGCGGTGCCAGCTCGTGCTCCCACGTTCCCAGCTCACGCTGCCCGCTCCCCGCCCTGGCCAGGCTGGCCGCTCACCCTCCGCCCTCACCCCAGTGCGGGCCGCGCTCCCCGGCCGCTCCCGGGCCGCACGCCCCGCGCAGGCCCCATTTTTTAATTAAAGTGACTACGGTGAAGTGAGGTCATTTCAGAGTAAGCCAAATATCATTCTCCTCATGAACGATACTTTCAAAGAGGACCAGAAAAAAAAAATACTAATGAAGAAGAGAGATACATTAAAAAGAACAGTGAAGGTTCACATTAAAAAAAATAAAAATATTACTACTTACACACTATTATATTTAACACATTTAATAACGTAAGTCTTCATATCAATTCTGTGTTTGGCTTTGAAAACTTGGCCAAATCCACCTGAGCCAATTGGTGTTACTTCTGTGAAATCCTTGACCAACCTTGAGAGAGAAATGCTGCTGTTATTCTGAGGTTCAACATCCTCTGTTCCTCCACTCCAACCCTTCTGCTTTCCCTTAAAGGCACTAGTGAAATGGACTGTATAACAAACAGGACTCTCCCCTTCTGAGTAAGAAGGATCCATTTCACAGAAACTCTTGAATCAAAAAGGATCGTTCTTCCCTCTTCCCATCCCAACATAACAGATCACTCCTGGGAGTCAGTCACCACCTGGCTGCACAAAAACCATGGTAAAGAATCTTTTATTCCAAGTAAAAAACTTTAGAAAAGAGTGCCACACTGTGTTCCCTGCTACCACCAAGCTGTTATACGAGAAATGAGCCTGCTTATGTTTGCAGCTCTCTGGGTTTCCCCTCTTTCTCCTGCCCCACCTTCCATCATTAAGACCTGCCAATTTTCTTTCCAAAACACATCTGCGGGTGTCTGCCCACATTCCCCCATTGGCCCAAGCTTCCAATAAGACTCCTGCCGAACCCTGTTCAGAAGACACACCACCTCCTCTCCTTCCTCTGCTCCAGTCCACGATCCTCACAGCGATCAGTGTGATAAATATTAAGTCTGATCACAACTATTGCCCAGACGCTTCCCAAGCCTGCCCCTGCCTTCAGCAAAACCCAGAAAACCCTGACATGGGCTACCAGGGGCCACCTGTTTGTCCGTCTCCAGCCTGTCTGGCAACCCCAGGTCCTTGGCCACTGCCCTCCCAGCACGTGGCCTTCTCTCAGTTCCTCTGGTGCTCACATTGCCTTTCCCGCTTCGCCTTCCCATGTGCTCCTCTTTCGCACAGTACCAGGGGCTCCCCACCGCCCTGTGCTGACTCATCCCTCAGGCCTCCCCACAAATGTGACCCAGAGAAAGCCCTGCCTCCTCCTTCACCCTAAATTCAAGGGTCCTGCTGTCGTGTCTAACCACGCCATGGCTCTTCCTTCAGACCTCTGGTCACAGTGCGTAATCATCATCCCCACAAAAACTGTAGGACAGGGGCTGTTTCTATGTTCCTGCTATAAATACGATGCCCAGCACACTGCCAGATATATATTAGGTACTTATCAAGTATTTGGTGATTCTTTATTATTTCTTAAGCTTGTATTCCATGTTCCTCTGTTGCAAATAGGCCTCCTTTTTAAAAGATACTTTATTTAAGACCAAACATGCAATCGACCACCAAAGGAGCCCTTTTTAAAAAAGTGAAATCTGCTATGAAGCTGGAAAATGGAAAACAGATTCAAATGGATCTATTCTGATTCCTGCAGGAGTACTTTTGTTGAAAAAAAGTTACTGGTTTACAGAAATATTGGCTTCCAATATTAAAACCTCCCAGAGATATCAGAGAAACCCACAGGAGTATCACACCTGTGATTTGAACTCACCTAAACTGTACTCCTCCACAAGGCAATGATCCTTTGTGGGCCTGATTGAGCTAAAACAAACTGTTCAGGGAAAGATATAACTTAACCTGCCTGATGTTCAACTGTCCCTTAAGAAACTTTTGTCAACTTTTGTACATGTATCCTTAAACAAATTCTTTTTCTTTTTCATGGTTTCCCCTCTTACCTGGGGTCCGCACTGTAACTGTTTTCTTCTGTCCTCACAGGAGAGTAAAAATTAGGCGCCAAACTTCTAAAAGTTAAGAGAAGCACATGAATTCAAAACTAAAATCAAATATAACTTATCAAGAGTGGATTTTATGCTATGCACTAGGCTTTTTATGTTGTGAGTCAACTATCAGAATAACAGAGTAGCAAGTACTAACATTTTTCTTTAGAAACAATATGGTTCTCTGTGCTCTAACAAATTTTCACTCCTTTCCTGTGTTTTTCAGCCTTAACACATTCATTGCCAGCATGCCGCTAGCCTCTTTTTCTCCCTTTAGACTCAAAACCTTAGGAAATATGTCTCGTTGAATTCTCATCCTGGTTCTGTTTCCTTTGTCATTTATTCCTTGCTGGTGGTAAGCCTCCTACAATTGGAAGTCCAAATGCCACCTAAAACTAAACAAATACAAATTGTTATCTTCCCTCCAGGTTTCCCAGGTGGTGCAGTGGTAAAGAATCCACTTGCCAATGCAGGAGACACAAGGGATGAGGGCTTGTTCCCTGGGTCAAGAAGATCCCCTGGAGGAGTCATGGCAACCCTCTCCAGTATTCTTGCCTGGGAAATCCCATGGACAGAAGAGCCTGGTGGGCTACAGTCCATGGGATCATAGAGTTAGACAACAACAATCTTCCCTCTAAATCTTCGAATCCCTTAACACCATCAGCGTCATGACATTTGTCTGCATCTCATTCACAAGGAACAATCTTCATTTCCTTTTTCCTTTGCATCTTCTTAACCCAGTTCTTTAACTCTATTTCCTCAAGTTATGTTTACTCTTCTTTTACAGTCTGTCTCACAAATTCTCCTCCTCCCTATCACTAGATTGGTCTGATGGCCTGATCATCTTACACACAGACCTCACCTCTCTCCATCTGAATACCAGCATCTGGCATCATCTTTCTGCAAGTGTTACCTACTGTTCAGAATGTACTGGTGCCTCATAGTGGCTCCTGCTGCCATCTTACTCCCACTGCTGACTGTATTCACATCCTTGCTTTTCTCTTCCGTTCAAGAAGCCAAGTCTCCCTAATTTACAGAATGTCTGATCATTTATTTCTTCCCTGAGTTACGATAACATTTCTACCCTACCTGCTTGTCTGTAAAATAATACACTTCTCTCTTTTGGGGGGGGTTGTGCCATGTGGCTTATGGGATCTTAATTCCCCCAACCAGAAATTGTATCTGGCCCTCAGCAGTGAAAGTGCTAAGTTCTAGCCACTTGGTCACCAGGGAATTCACATAATACATTTCTCTTAAGAATACCTCTACAAGCCCACTTCTTCTGTCAGACTTGTCCAAAACAATGCCCTTAACCAGTTACTCGACCAATAGCCCCATGGGCCTTTATGTCTAAAATGTATTGTGTGCATATGTTCAAAGACTTCTCTATGTATTTAAAATTATTTATTCATAGATTTCAAGATTTCTGTGAGCCTTAATCATGCTTTGTACTCCTGAAACTCCACTCAAATAAGGGCATACAATACAAATACTGAAGACTTCATAAATAAGATGAACAAACTAGATCTGAAATAAAACTTCATTTCTAAATAAGTCCAATGCATGCTGATACTCACCTCTTCACCTTCCTGGCATTATTTCTGAAACTGTCCTATAACAAAAGAAAATGGAAAATAGTTTCAGATGATTAAGTCAAGTATCCTGCTTTTCTTGGCCATCCTTTCTCCTGTACTTCTAGATGGTTCTCTGACCACATTTCTTTGTCCCTAAGATTAACAACCTCATCAATTCATACGCTCTCAGTAAGCCCTGCTTTCAGTGTATTTGTCTGTATCAGTGTTCTCATCAATTATAGCAAAGACAGATACGATAAGAAGGTCAAAAAACACAAATTGTTGGGGCCCTGAGATTCAGTGGCTAAGACTCTGCACTTCTATTCCAAAGCAGGGGGCACAGGTTTGATCTCTGGTCAGGAAACTCAGATCCCACATGCTGCGCTGCACAACCAGAAAAAAAAAAAGCTAGAACTGCAGGGCATGTTCCACAGAAGCACTGACTCTCCAGGCATAGAATATGGCTTCCCAGATGATCCTCTGGCCAGCAGATCTCAGCAAGAAACTATGCATTACAATTACTCACAGTGCTAGTAAAGAAAACACATGGGGCCCAGGGATCTAGTTTAAAACATTTTCAGGACAAATCAATAATTTAACTTTAACATTTAGCCAAAAAAGAGGAATCTTTGACATATCTCTCAAAAATTAATATAGCTCTTCTTCAAGCATATTCACTTTTATTCTGGTAGGTGTTGTGGTTTTTTTTTTAACAATTTTAGTATGTTGACACAGAGTGCAAACATCAGACTAAGATTTCTTGAGTTCCTATCACCCGCCAGCCTCAGTTTTGCACAGTGACTGCATTATGATTAATTCAGACATTCTGTAAATGGACAATATTTTCTCCAATCTCTTCTATTACAAACAATTTTGCAAAGAACACGCTTATACATGTATCTCTGTGCACACATACATGTGTTTCTTTAAAAGACATATCTAGGAATAGAACTGACAGCACAGCTTGCACACCCTCAACTCCACTACATGTTGCCAAATTGCTCTCTAAGACAGTCGAACCAATTTATACATCAGCCAGCAACATAGAATATTGCTGTAAAAGCACGTCATAGGTATAACAGGAACAGAGTTGCGTCAACACTTAGGATAGCCAGACTCAAATTTTGCCAATCGGATGGTTTAAAATGGTATCTAGCTATTGTTTTCATTTGCATTTTCCTGATTATTATTAAGTAAAGCATCTTTTCATATGTCTGTTGCCCTTTTGGGTATCTCTTTTCTGAACTGTCCAGTTCTTTTGTACACTTTTTACTTTTTTACTGAGTTGCTTATCTTTTTCTTATTGATTTGTTTGTAGTTTAAAAAAATATTTATTTAATTGACTATGCCAGGTCTTTGTTGCAGTATGCAGGATCTCGTTCCCTGACCAGGGATGGAACCTGGGCCCCTTGCATTGAGAGCATGGGGTCTTAGCCACTGCACCACCAGGGATGTCTTTCTAGTTCTTTAAAAATATAATACTTTGGTAACACTAATCATCACCGCAAAGACTATCTGATTTTTAAGTTCAGTTTTTAAGTTTAGCTCTGGTTTATTAAAACAGAAGCAGAAATCTATGAGTGAACCTTCTAAATACCATCCAATTGATAGAAGAAAAGAAGCCAGATTATAGGAATATGTGAAAAATACAAAGGTGAGTAGGGAGAGAAAGATGGGAGTGAAGAGCAGAAAAATTTTGCATGTGAGGAATGGGAGTTTATAAAGAAAGGAGAGAGAAAAAGCTACAAAACATTTAGATTTAATAAGAGCCCATAAAAAAAATTGAAAAATTATGACAGGTACTGGAGGTCACTTTTACATGGAGAAACACAGAGGAAAATAAGATTAACTAGGAAACTTAGATACTAATACTATACCCCTGGAGACAGGAAAGTGCTGTTTGTGTCACTGTTATCACTTCTTTCTGAGGCATTTGTTGAGAAGCCGTTTTCAGATGGTGATTCAGAACTACTAAAAGAAAAGAGGACAGCTATTAGTTTATGAATTCTGCCTATTTTTTGTTGATCAGTAATTGCTTTTTCTAAATTCTCCTTCAACATTAAACATTTTCGTAAATATCTGCTCTTTCAGGCTGCAATTTGAATTTGTTTGTCCATACTTACGATGTGCTCATTGCTTGAGAGTTTCTTTCGACATCACCAGACACAGCATTGAAACAATCAGAGGACTGGTCAGCTCTCTGAAAGATTTAGAAGTACAACTAAATGACTTCTTATAGTGGCTTAGTCTCTGTGAACCAACTCCCACATTTATTTCCCACATTTACCAAATTCACAGCCATAAAGAATAACAGGATTAATATATTTTTATGGATGTTTGATCTGAATTTAAAAAACATTGAGCTGTCATGAGAACTGTGATCCTTCTGAAGCTTCATGGCCCCAGGGCTCATTGGTGGGACACAGAAAGGAGAGCTTTTGCTATGCCACTGGCTGGCTTGGCATCATCTAAATATCATGTAACTTCAAATCAACTTCAAAGAGAACTTTAAAATATAAAAATCAAATCCCAAGGCAGTACACACCATTGTTTCTGATTCTATCTTTTCATAAGCCAGTTTGGCAGCCAACTGTTTTGCCTCCTGTTTAGTGAAACCTACACCAATACCATATTCTTCTTGTCCAATTTTGCATTTATAACGAAATCTAGGAGAAATGATAAAGAGTATTAAATCAAATACCAAAAAACAGTAGATGTAACTCATGTGTTTTCAGAAAAAAAAAACACACCTTAACAAAGGGCTAAATACAACACCAATTTAATAGATAGATTAATAGTTCATATCTTACTTAATTTCAACGAGGGCTTCCCTGGTGGCACTAGGTAAAGAATCCGCCTGCCAATGCAGGAGAGACATGGGTTCAATCCCTGATCTGGGAAGATCCTACATGCTGTGGAGCCACTAAGCCCATGTGCCACAACTACTGAATTTGTTCTCCAGGATCCTGGCCCATCTGCCGCAGCTACTGAGCCCATCTGCCGCAGCTACTGAAGCCCACACATCCTAGAGTCCATACTCTGCAACTGGAGAAGCCACCGCGATGAGAAACCCGAGCATGGCGACCAGAGCATAGCCCCTGCTTGCTGCAGCTAGAGAAACCCCACGCAGTAACGAAGACCCAGCACAGCCAAAAATAACTAACTAAAAAAATAAAAATTATATTTTAAAAAGTAAGATTATATATATATATGTATATATACATATATATATATATATATTTTTTTTTTTTTTCAATGAGATGGCTAATCAGTTTACCAGAATAACCAGGACTGGCTAATAGCCCAGCTTCCATTCTCCAGGGAAGTTCTAACTCTTTGCTGCTTCATTGAAAGATGTGGCATTAAGGTACCAAGTGGTGATTTTTTAAAATTCCCCAAAAGTCAAAAGATGCGGGGGCAGAGAAAGAAGAAAGAGACCTAATGAATTTTTCAGAGATGTTCAACTGGTATGATAAAATCCGCAGAGGCTTCTACAGGAGAATAATAAGGTGAAAGTGTTTTGGAGGAAATGCGCCAAGCATGTCTAACTTCAGCTCTAACTTCACCATTTTCTGCACCCTCCTGCTCATGTACACAAAAACCTAAGCAAATCCTCACAATGCAAAAGTCCCATACTGAAATCACTTAATTTTCACATGAGCTATAAGGATGCTTGTAGTTAGGCAAGGAGCTTGGGACAATTATAGAAGAACTATATTTAAGGTGGCAAAGCAACAGACATGGAAATTTATATTATGGAGTTACCATGTAGCGCTACAGAATTATGGCAGTATTATTCATCGTGGATGGAAACAGACTCTACCAGTGAGTCTTCTCCACTAGGCTCTGAAGGAAAATTAGGGAGCTGGGCTGAAGGACTCGATTATTTCTGTGACTCCTGTTTTTTTTCAGCACTCCCTAAACAGTCTTCTTTTTTTAACAATCAAACGTTAAAGCACTAGGTCAAAGGAACCAACAGGTGAGCTACAGGAAAATAAAATAGCCTTAATTTATGGAGATTGACTCACAGAATTCACTTTTGACTCTTTCATTCTAGTGAATCCTATCACATTTTTGTCTTCCTGGTTCTGGCCTACAAGCCATTGGCGTGAACAATAAAGTTCATAGAACAGTATCATCCTAAAGTGGGTGTTTGGACTATTCGCCTTTTAGAATTTTTGTCCTTCTCTCTCATTTAACTGGTTGGCTATAGCTGAGAAACAACCTTCTTCACACTCATTTGCTTTCTGCTTTTCCCAGTTCAAATGCATTCTTCATCCTCATCTCCAAAGCCTCTGCTCACTGGTGAGAAGTTCTCATTATTTCTGACTGACCTTCTCATCCACCCCTCTCATCATACCCCTCAAATCTTGGTCTCCTCACCATCCAGGGTGAAAACCCGGTCCTTACTGATTTCTTTTTGGTGGCGTTGGGTTTCATTTTGCTTCATGGGCTTCTCATGGTGGTGGCTTCTCTTGCTGTGGAGCACAGGCTCTGGATTGCAGGCTCAGTGGTTTCAGGGCCTGGGCTGAGTTGCTTCCTGGCATGTGGGATCTTCCTGGACCAGGGATCAAATCCACCTCTCCTGCATTATTGGCAAGCGGACGCTTAACCACTCGAGTGCCAGGGAAGTGCTTTTTTTTTTAATTCTTTTGGCCACACAGCATACAAGATTTAGCTCCCCAACCAGGATTCGAACCCATGCCCCCTGCATTTGAAGCTCAGAGTCTTAACCACTGGACCAGGGTTTCCTAAACCTATGGTCCACCAAGAACTTCCCTAAACCCATTCTTTCGAATACATAGTACTTGTCTAGAGAGTGACACTATTCAATAAAATCTGAAGGGCAAACATCTTTATTCTGACAAGGGTGGAAAGAGACTCATTCCACACACGTGGCAGGGCTCTTCTCACACAGCCACTGTGACCTCAGGGACGGGAAGGTCTTCACCACCTGACTTTGCTTAGGTTTCCTGCAGACTAAACCATCCAGAGAGATCTCAGAAATAAAGGATTTCCCAGACTTGATCAATTGTGGGATAAGGGTCCCCGGACTTCAGCAACGAAGCATCTTAATATTTTCATCACAGAGATGTCAAACTGCAATAAAGTCATAAAAAACCTCTGCAGAATGTACCAAAAAGGACAGGTATTTTTGGAAAGTTAGACATGAAAATAAGGCTGCTCTATTGCTTAGATATAGTGAAACAGAAGGAAAAACAACATCTCACCCTTCCGGCCCATCACCCTTTGATTTACATTCTTCATAAGTTACACATAGGTTTTTCTTCTGGGAGATCGTATTAAGACGGCCTATGTAATTCTCAATGGGTGGTCCTTCTGGAGTATTTGTTGTCAGCTGAGATGAAAAAGTAACTGACTAAAAGAAAAAAAAAAAACCCATAAGGATAAATTTTAACAAGAAAAGACATTAGCTATTTTCCTCTTACAGTTTCATAAGGGAAAACAAAATAGTCAATTTTCTTGTTTATCTAGGTAAAACTATAAGACTTTCTGATTTGTTGCATCTTTTGTAATCTCAAAGGACAAGATAACACATACTGAAGTAAAGTTATATCCTGGATCACAACTTCATAGGAAACATGAATATAATAGCATTACTCCTTCCACTATTATCTGCCCCTTTTAAAATTTCCAATCTGTCAAAATCTTGCCCAAAGTTTTTCTACTTTGTTAACTTTGTCAAAGAATTTTTGGTTTTATTGTCCTTCTTTATCATATCTTTGTTTTTTTCACATCAATTTCTTCCCTTTTGTTATCACTGTCTTTCTTCTGCTTTTTCATGGGTAAAGGTATTCTACTGTTCTTTTTCTGACTTCATGACTTGGTTTTCTGGCTCATTAACGATTTATAAGTTTGTGGGTTTTCCTGATTTATTTTGCTCAATTTTGATTAAAAGGGTGACATCTTCAAGTAAAATTTAAAAAATATATATATTTTTTGGCTGCACTGTATGGTACTTGGGATCTTCTTTCCCAGACCAGGGATCAAACCTGTGCCCCCTACAGTGGAAGCCTGGAGTCTTAACCACTAGACCACCAGGAAGATCCCATTGAGTAAGATTTTTCATGAAAGTATCTTGAATACTGAAACCCTGAAAAATTTTGAAAATTTGACAATGACCCACTTTTGTCCCACATGTAAAATGACTTCCTGCCTCATTTTACAGATGCTGCTCCAGAGTCTTCAGGTTTTTAACGGTGGTGCGGGCAGCATGACTTTTTTTTCATTTTTATATTTCGTATAAGTTCTTCTGCCTGGATACTTGTAGGATTCTTTCTTCATCCCTGGAGCTCAGTCCTTTCGCAAAGGCCAACGTTCTTGGTGTTTTCATGTTTTTCAGTATCTTATGAGCCGCTGAGTTGCTTCAATCTGCAGGTAGCTCTTTTTTTATTTCATAAATACTTTCTATTGCTCTTTTCAGAGACCATGTTTTCTGCACTAGTTACTCTGTTTGCATCTTCAGCAATACCAATTATACGTATGTTACTTTTGCATCATCTGCCCTCCATATTTTAATATATCATTCTCCTCATGGTTCCTTCTATCTCTGCCCTTTTCCACTGCATTCCCTCGATCAGGTGGAGGGGCTCCTTCCAGAACCTGTTAGCTCATTTCTCACTGTTTCCTAAGAGTATGCCCTGCTGTTGGCACTCTAACTAGATATTGCCCCATTTTGCCCACTCTTTTTGAGGTGGACCTCTCATTCAGGGTTCTATAGAAATGAGACCAGGAAAAAGACTGAACTAAACTTCGAAAGCAAAAGCACTTGTGAATAGTTTTATTCTGCATGTAAGTATTTTCTCACAGGATAAAAATACCATAGATATTTGTGAGTTCCCTTTCACAAAGGAAAAAAAAAGGTAATTACTCACCTTACGGTCTTTGTTAATTATCTCAAAAGCTAATTTGGCTGCAGCGTTTTTGGCTTCCTTCTTTGATCTACCTTCAGCCTTTGGAAATTCTTTATCATCTATTATAACTTGATATGTAAACCTGATTACAAAGAAAAATTCAAAGAATATCATAAAATTCATGCATTATTTAACTACCATTCTAATCATAACTGCCTTCTGTGACACCTTTGAAAATTTTAACCTGTGTTCCACATAGAATAATCATAAGGAATTTGATTTCAGCCATTCAAGTATGACCTAAATCAAATCTCTTACGATTATACGGTAGAAATGACAAATAGATTCAAGGGATTAGATCTGATAGACCAAGGGCCTGAAGAACTATGGACAGAGGTTCATAACACTGAACAGGATGCGGTGATCAATACCATCACCAACAAAAAGAAATGCAAAAAGGCAAAATGGTTATCTGAGGAGGCCTTACAAACAGCTGAGAAAAGAAGAGAAACAAAACGCAAAGGAGAAAAGGAATGATACATCCATGTGAATGCAGAGTTCCAAAGATTAGCAGGGAGAGAGAAGAAAGCCTTCCAAAGTGATCAATGCAAAGAAATAGAGAAATACAATAGAATGGGAAAGACTAGAGATCTCTTCAAGAAAATCAGAGATACCAAGGGAACATTTCATGCAAAGATGGCACAATAAAGGACAGAAACGGTATAAACCTAACAGAAGCAGAAGATATTAAGAAGAGGTGGCAAGAATACACAGAAGAACTGTACAAAAAAGATCTTTATGACCCAGATAACCACGATGGTGTGATCACTCACCTAGAGTCAGACATCTTGGAGTGTGAAGTCAAGTGGGCCTTAGGAAGTATCACTATGAACAAAGGTAGTGCAGGTGATGGAATTCCAGCTGAGCTATTTCAAAACCTAAAAGATGATGCTTTGAAAGTGCTACACTCACTGTTTATAATAGCCAGGACATGGAAGCAACCTAGATGCCCATCAGCAGACGAATGGATGAGGAAGCTGTGGTACATATACACCATGGAATATTACTCAGCCATTAAAAAGAATTCATTTGAATCAGTTCTAATGAGATGGATGAAACTGGAGCCCATTATACAGAGCGAAGTAAGCCAGAAAGATAAAGACCATTACAGTATACTAACACATATATATGGAATTTATAAAGATGGTAATGATAACCCTATATGCAAAACAGAAAAAGAAACGCAGATGTATAGAACAGACTTGTGGACTCTGGGAGAAGGCGAGGGTGGGATGTTTCAAGAGACAGCATCGAAACATGTATATTATCTAGGGTGAAACAGATCACCAGCCCAGGTTGGGTGCATGAGACAAGTGCTCGGGCCTGGTGCACTGGGAAGACCCAGAGGGATCGGGTGGAGAGGGAGGTGGGAGGGGGGACCGGGATGGGGAATACATGTAAATCCATGGCTAATTCATTTCAATGTATGACAAAAACCACTGCAATGATGTAAAGTAATTAGCCTCCAACTAATAAAAATAAATGGAAAAAAACAAAAAAAAAGCACAGACATTACTTTCCCAACAAAGGTTCATGTAGTCAAAGCTATGGTTTTTCCAGTAGTCATATATGGATGTGAGAGTTGGACCGTAAAGAAGGCTGAGCACTGAAGAATTGATGCTTTTGAACTGTGGTGTTGGGAAAGACTCTTGAGAGTTCCTTGGACTGCAAGGAGATCAAACCAGTCAATCCTAAGGCAAATCAGTCCTGAATATTCATTGGAAGGACTGATGCTGAAGCTGAAGCTCCAATAGTTTGGCCACCTGATGCGAAGAGCTGACTCATTAGCAAAGACCCTGATGCTGATTGAAGGCAGAAGGAGAAGGGGATGACAGAGAATGAGATGGTTGGATGGCATTACCAACTCGATGGACATGAGTTTGAGCAAGCTCTGGGAGAAAGTGAAGGACAGGGAAGCCTGGCGTGATGTAGTCCACGGGGTTGCAAAGAATCGGCCATGAGTGAGTGACTGAACAACAATCACCACATAGAATTCAAGCAGACACCCCAAAGAGCAAAACAGTACATCATTTGAAGCATGTTAAGGTTTATACACCGTTTTTTCCTCTGGAGTCCTCTGAAGTTACCACTTTACATCAAAAAGACTCTCACCATCTTCTGTGGCAGCGTTGCTCTCATGCTAAAGAACTGACTTCAAAATTGTGCCAGAGTTGCTATTCTTCCAGTTTTTATTTTATATGGATATACCCTTTCTTATAGCAACTTACCTATAGTTATGTGGAGGTCCTGTCTTAGCCAGTTCACAATACCTAACTTCTACACCGTTCTTTTGTTGGTATTTATTAAGTTCTTCTATGTAGAAACATGGTGAACGACCAGTGGCCATTTTTTTCCTCTAGTAACCTACAAAAAAAGAGGTGTTTGAAAGAAGTGATATACTCAGAAAATATTTAATTTCGGCAGTTCAGTTTAAGATATAAAACAGGGTAACATGACTCTCCTTTATATGACTCATCTCAGCCCCACATAAATCCAGAGAAAACTTTCTTACAAGATTTTTCTTTCCCTCTTATGGATTGCAAAATCAAGTTAATTTCTCCAAGATTTTCTACTTTCAAAACTCAACTGGCCAAAAAAGGATGGAGGTCCTTCTCCTTAACTTTTCTTTCTGCTTCCACTGAATGTCAAGTGCAAGTCTGTCCATCTGCTTAAAAAGATAAAAGCCTGAAGGAGGAGAATTAGAATTATTTTTTTGAGAATAAAAAGGTTGAGTGTATATATAAAGTTTATGATATCATGAAGGATTTAGCTGTACGGACACAGATTCTCCTATGAAGCCCCACAAAACTTCCATTTGAAATTTTCAGAAGTCAGCTTTAGGACAATTTACTTGGCAGACAAATTAGGCCCTAGTTTATGGTTCTCACTGGACGAAGATAGTAACAATGATTCAAATTACAAATAAAATCTAAAGAATATAGAATCTAAATATAAGAGTCAAAGCTATAAAACTTTAAAAGTAAATATAAGGGTGCATCTTCACAATCTTAGATTTGGCAGTGGAATCTTAGCTATGACAGCAAAAACATAGCAACAAAAGAAAACATAAATAAACTGGACCTCATCAAAATTAAAAATGTTTGCATATCAAAGGACACTATGAGGAAAATGAAAAGACAGTCTTCAGAAAGGGATTTTTATAAATAATATATCTGATAAAGACTTAGTATCCAGAATACATGAAGAACTTTCACAACTCAACAATAAAAAGAGGTAAGAAATTTAAAAACAGGCAAAGGATTGAATAGATATTTCTCCCAAGAAGACATATAAATGGCCAACAAGCACACAAAATGATGTTCAATATCATTACTTATTAGACAAATACAAATCAAAACCACAACTAGATTCTACCTCACACCCACTAGGCTGGTAATAATAATAATAGAGAAAATAAATGTATTGGTGAGAATATAGAGAAATTGGAAACCTCATATATTGCTTATGGAATGTAAAGTAATGCAGCCTCTATAAAATTTGATGGTTCCTCAAAAGGTTAAACTTAGAATTACCATGAAAGTGAAAGTCACTTAGTAATTTTTGACTCTGCGACCCCATGGACTATACAGTCCATGGAATTCTACAGGCCAGAATACTGGAATGGGTAACTTTTCCCTTCTCCAGCAGATCTTTCCAACCCAGGGATCAAACCCAAGTCTACTGCATTGCAGGCAAATTCTTTTACCAGCTGAGCCACAAATACCACCCATCATTTCACCCCTTTGGTGTATATCCAAAGAATTGAAAAACAGGTTTTCAAATACTTACACAAGAATATGATAAGCAGTACTAGTCACAATAATCCAAAAGTAGAAACAAATCAAATATCTGTCAACTGAAGAAAGGTAAACAAAATGCTGTACATCCACACATGGAATCTTATTCAGCCCTAAAAAGGACAATGTATTGAAACATGCTATAACATGGTTAAATGTCAAAAACATGCTAAATGAAAGAAGTCAGACAAAAACAGTAACATAGAATATGATTCCATTAATGTGAAACATCCAGAATAAGTAAATCCATAGACAGAAAGTGGACCCTGTTGACCTCTCGTTTCATATTAGAAAGCTCTTTTGATTTTCCTTCTTTCAAGGTCACTTGAAAAGTGTCTTTCTGACACTCCTTAATCTCCGCAGCCTTTAGATGCTGGAGTTTCCCCCAAAACTTGGTCCAAAAACACTATTCTCTTCACTTTATACTTTCTCCTCAAGGTGATTTCTCTCATGGCCATGATTTCAAAGATCATCTATTTGTTGTTACCTCTGAAATTTATACATAATTTATGAACCTTTTTCTGAGTTTCAGAGCTCTCTATCCAACCTCCCCACTTGGACATCTTGAATGGCTTTTAAACTCCAAAAATCCAAAACTGCATTTATAATCTCTCCTCAAACTGGTTTAGAGTTTCCTTCCTCAGAAAATGACTTCACTGTCCACCCATGTCTGAGAGCCATGAATTCTGGGAGGCATCCTTGACATGTGCTTTCCCTGTCTTCTGTTCTATATGTAAGTCCTGTCCTCCAAATCCTTTGACTTCTCATTGATGTCTATAACCACCATCCTGGTTCAAGCCATCACCGTCTCACTCCGGGACTGCTGCAAGAACCTGAGAACCAATTCCTCATGGTGGCTACAATTTCTTCTCTAACCTGCAGCCATCATGATTTTTTAGCAGAACTTCTTTCTCATTGTTGTAAAATACACATAACATGAAATTTGCCATTTTTAAATGAGTAATTCATGGGCAAAAGCTATTTCACAATGTTGTAAGCCCACCATTACCATCCATCTCCAAAACTCTTTTCATCTCCCCAAATAGAAAGTCTGTACCCACTAAATAACTTCTCATTTCCCTTCCCCCTCATCCCTTGGTAACCACCATTCTGTTTTCCATGCCTATACATTTGCCTATTCTAGGTATCTAGCACAAGTGGAATTATACAATATTTGTCCTCTTGTGTTTTAGCTAACGTCTTCAAGGTTCATCCATGCTGTATGTAGCATATATCAGAATTTCCTTCCTTTTTAAGGCTGAATACTATTCCACTGTATGGATATCCCATATTTTGTTTACCTATTCATCTACTGATGATCATGGGTTATTTCAGCCTTTTGGCTACTGTGAGTAATGATGATATGAACATTGTTGTACAAAAATCTATTCAAATGCCTACTTTTGAATCTTTTGAGCATATACCTAGAGGTGGACTTGCTGAATCATATGGCAATATATAGTCAACTTTTTCAAGAATTGTCAAATTACTTTCCACAGTGGCTGTACCATTCTGCACTTTCATCAGCATACACGAGGGTTCCAATTTCTCCAAATCCTCACCAACAGCTGTTATTTTTCATTTTTAAAACAGCCGTGTCATGATCTTTTAAACCCTCACTTCAGTCATGCAGCCTCCACAAGCTATCAAAATTGTTTTTGTCCAGGTTACCGATGGCTCCCCCATCTCTGAAACCAGTAGTCAGTGGTCTGTTCCCAGCCTTTTTCTTCTTGACACATAACCGGCACAAGATACGGTCGCTTATTCCTATGTCCCTCCTTCTCCCTTTGCTCGGACACGTAAGACACCATCCTCTCCTAGTTTCCCTCCTTTCTCACAAGCTATACCTTTTCTGTCTCCTTTCCTGGTTCTTCTTCATCATCCTTTCTTTTAAATATTGTATTGTCTCGGGGTCCGGGTCTCATATCTCTTCTCTGCTCTACTCCTCCTCCTCTCCACTCACTCCGCTGGTGATCCCCTCAAGACTTGGAGCTTTAAATTCCACCTACACAGAGATGGTTGTCAAAAGGACGCTTCCCCCACCAACTCTTTCCTGGCTCCCAACTGCGTCTGACCAACAGACTCCCTCCTGAAATGCTCTGGACTCCACCCCCTTAGCTGCTTCTGCCCGATTAACTCCTGCCTCCTATGGATCTCAGCTCAAGTGTTACTTCCCACACCCCCTGGAAGAGATCCTGGTTTGATGCGCTATAGCCCTTGTGTCCTTTATTACAATTGCTCATTTAACTGACCCTCTTCCAAAAGAGACCAAGAAGCAACAAAGTCTGGAAGCAACACACAGGAGAGGATAAGAGATGGCTGGAAGTGCTACAATGAAGCGAAATAGGGCTATGAGCTAGAAGGGGTGTTAGGAGGTGGGGTCAGAGATATGAAGGAGGTGGTTGTGATACAGTGGCAAGGGAAGACCCTTCTTAGGAGGCAATACTGAAATCAAGCCTGGATGATGAGAAAGTCCATCATGCTTAGATAGGGGGAAGAGCATCTCAGGCAGAGGAAACCGTGAGGCAGGCACCAGCATGGCGTTTGGAAGGCTAAGGAAAAGTCAAGGAGACTGCTGCACAGCGAACGAAGGGAAATGCTGGGATATGAGTCAGAGAGTAGGCAGCTGCCACAGCACAGAGACCTTGAAGGCTCCGGCCAGGACCATGGATGTTATTCCAGTTGCAATGGGAAGCTCTTGGTGGGTTCTCAGCAGAGGGGTGATGTGGTTGGACTTATGCTTTTAATGATCACGCTGATGCTATGGAAAGAACACAGTATGAGGGGTGGGGATAGAAAAGATGAGCAGAGCACAAGCAGAAGTCGAGAGACCAAGTCGAGACTGCCATGGAGGTTTGGGTGGGCAATGCTGGTGGCTGGAAGGGCTTAGATATGAGCAAAGGCACGATCGCTGCTTAGTGTTGCGGAGACAGCTAGGCTTTAAAGCCACATACACCTGAGCCTCTGAACCTACCTCTCTGAACCTTTGATTTGTGATGTGAAATGAAGGATGGACACACCTGATTCACAGGTTGTGGTGCGGAGTAAATCAGACAAAAAAGGATCCAGGAGGGTTTCCCACACCCCTGGCCCTCAATGAACAGTGCTCCTGGTCTGTAACTCCAAAATTCAAGAAGCACTGAAAACTGAAGTTTATTTTGTTTTCATTTGCTTTGTTTTTGCTTGGTGTGTAGCCCCCCATCTAGACCTGAACTGACACAAGCTACTTACAGTCTTAACCATACTCTGTTGTCTATTTATACATTTCACTGCAGATAGCATTTTATGATAGCATTGCCCCCAAACCCTACTGAGAACATTACATAATAGACAGGATTTATGCTGCCTTGTCTTTCTAAAATCCAAAAACTTCTTAAGTACCAGAACATAACATGGTTCAAGGGTTTCAGATAAGAATCTGCAGCTGCACCATTATTTTCAGGAATTAAAGTGTCATTTAGTTTAGTCACAACTATGAGATCGTACATCCAATTGGATGAGGTCATAGATCTCAGAGGGCTCCCCAGGTGGCTAATGGTAAAGAACCCGT